CATGCGACCTCCCTCCTTCCTGTCCTGTAGTTGGCCAGCCTTCTTGTTCTGTCGTAACAGTAGGATACTGTTAGTCTTGCAGTAGTCGTTGAATTCGGTAGAGTGGTGGCTTGTATGGCCGTCAAGGACTAAGAGGCGATAAACACCTTTCGTACGAGCCTTTGTGCACTGATCAAAGTGCTTGATCCAATCTAAACCAATCTCATTTGTAGTCCAGCCGTTGGTACTTGTATGGATCCTCCAATCGCTCTGGAATTGGCCGTTCTGATACCAAGATGTGAGGTGGAATTTGCCCTTCACAACCACGTACAGAGGTAGTGTCCAGCCAGTTGCGCATACTCCCTGGATCACTGTAACAAACTCTCAATTGCCTGGCTGCTTTGTATGAGGCCGAGAACTTCGTTCGGAGCTTGTAACAACCTTTGCGCTCGAGAGCATGCCCATTAGAAACCCAGTCTCGTCAAAGTTATAGATATCCTCCTCTTGGATGCCATACTTAGCAATCATGTTCTGTACAAGCCGGAACCACGCGTTTACTACGTCCGGATCTTCGCATTGGGCCCTCTGGTAATCGATTCGATGCCGAAAACGCGTGGTAAGCTCAGGGTTGCACTTGACAAAGTTCTCTGCCCATCATGGTCCAACATGCGACGCGTCACAGTCCGTACGGAGGCGATCGGCCATTTCTCGAACGTCTTCAAGCCGGGGCTGAAATCCTCGCGAATCTAGGTCGAGTATCCGATCGACAAGCACCTTCTCTTCTAAATTGATCAACTTCCTCGAGTTGGCAGAGATATCGCGTCGTGATTTCCGTCCAGCTTGTCGGCATTCGAGGGTCGTACGGGCAACTTGGTAGACTTTAGCTGCAGCTCGAATCGAGAGATTAGGGTCTCTTTTTAATGCCTCGAGAGCAAGGACAATACGGCTTTCGTTTGAAGAACATTCCATCTTTGATGGTTGTGAAAATTGATGTTAGAGGTAAGAAGTTGTGAAAAGTGGGTGGAGTGGCCCGTTCGCTATGCTGGCCCGCTCGCTATGCATGTACGTTACTTCTAACGAAACGTGACAAAGTAGCTTTATATATAAATTTTGGTGTGATGATACTAAGTGCGCCACTTCATGATATGCACTGCTTGCTAATAAACCACATTATAACTTTATTTATAATCTTATATAAACTCTTATAAATATAGATATAGTCTAAAAAAAGGGCTATATATATATAGTTTTTATTTAATTTACACTTATAAGGTCTAACCTTAAGACTATTTCCTCTACTAGAGTCCTGGGGAAGAGGGGTGAGTAAAGGGGAGAGGAAGGGGATAGTCGACGTTTAGCATCTTAGGAAAATTGCTAATGGAATCCTAGGGAAGAAAAAGGAAATTACCGTGTTTATGGCGCGACTCATACAACCAAAAATCACTATATTGTGCGGTGACAAACTGCAGTCGTGACAGCAGCGTGACGACTTGTTCTGCCAGCTCAAAGAAGCCCGTCTGCGCGATCCAAGTGATGATCATATGCGCACCAACTCGAGGAATCTCGCCGCCGTGTCGCCCAACTCGAAGAGCAGGCAACGGAGCATCAGAATGTCCGCCCCGAGCTAGCTACGGCGCATAGCAAGATCGCGGAGCTGGAGCAGCAGTGGCGCCCGAAGGTGTCAACGTTGGGCTCGACGAGTTTCCAGGGGGTGTTGTGCTCGGCCTTGTCGAGACCCGCGGGCGCGGGCTGCCAGCGCCCTGGGAAAGTTCCAGCCGGGTAGGATTCATCATCGTCAGGGGACTGAACGGCGCCAGTAGCGCAACAGCAAGAACAGCGAAGCGGTAACAACGACGCAACGGCAACAGCAGCGCAACGACGACAACAGCGCAAGGGGTGACAATGGCGTAATAGGTCCAGTACGGGGGTGAGACGAGAAGTCGCCCACTTACTTATCTGAATCCCGCTGTGACAAGGTCTGCTGCAAACTTCTCGCGCATTTCTTGGGCTTTGCTATGCACACGACATTCAGCACAATAGGATCCTTTGGCCGGTCTCCGTCTTTCAGGAATTGCTGTGTGACGATCGCTGTTCCGAGGACGTTTGTCTCGAAGCCAGAGAACCACTCCTTCAAGTCTTGCTCCACGAATGGTCCCTCGTCGCGTTGTCCGCCTTCAATTTCCAGACCTCGCTCTCGTATTTCGATGCCGTTAATGCCTCCTTGCGTGCATATTCGTATTTGACTCCAGTGAGTTCGTTGCGGAGGCTATCTGCATCTTTGACCATATTCGAGGCAAGTAATCTACAGATAGATAGACAGCAAATAAGCGCAGAGATGGGATGTAAAATAAAGCAAAGGCGTATGTGAGAAGTCCAATGGCGGGTGCAATATCAATATCACAACATACGGAAAACCCCACAGCTACTCAGCCAGACAGGTAGCTCGGATGCAATATGAGAGCCCAAGAAAATCCGAGAAATCCCTACTCACCCAGCGAACCAGCCAGCGTGGAGGCAAGGCCAAACCAACCTCAGAATAGCTGTGACCCCCTATTTCCCTCGCATCATAGATAACACCATCGATCAGCTCACCACCTTCGTCCTCCTTTTCCCTCCCCCTTTCCCTCTCTCACATCATTGTCCCAAGCCATCCACCATCTCACTACGCACCCTCCCCCACGCCCCTCCCACTTTCCCTCCCCCTTTCCCTCCCCCTTCCCCTCCCCTTTCCCTCCTCCTTTCCCTCCCCCTTTCCCTCCCTCACATCATTGTCCCAAGCCATCCACCATCTAACCCCTACGCACCCTCCCCCACGCCCCTCCAACCAACCACCACATCGTCATCACCCTCCCCCCCTTATAAAAATAGAAACCCCCCTTACCGTTCGCGGCCGCATGACCATCTCCCCGCTACCCCCTTCCACCCCGCCATCACCCGCTGTGGCTCCGACAAGATAAATGAGAAGGAGAGGAGAGGATAGGGTGCCGGTGTGCCGCATCCAGTCTTCATTCACCTCGGGTAGATCGATCGCCGATGATGAGAGAGGCGGGGGGGAGGCAGTCTCGATCTGGGCTGGGTGCTGGCGATGGGGGGGATAAGATTGGAGATTTGATGGTGGGGGGAGGGGCAGAGGTGTCCCGCTTCGGGTTGGATGCGGGTGATGACGGGGAGCTGTAGTGTCCGTCCATAGCCTTGGTGTGGCGGATCGCGGATCGGCCCATGTCAGATAGCTATATCAGCGGCGTTGGCTCCCTCGTCGGCGTCTGCGTAGTCTCCGTATAGCGTCGGGATGAGATCAAGATTGAGTGGGTTTAAAGTAGCGCAGCCGCGTTCGGCGTCCATGAGAAGCTATATCAAGACTCCGTCGATGCCGGTACGCGTATCGATCGAGGGGTAGTTGGGCACTTCAGCCGTCTTTCGTCTTTGGGTATCGATAGACTCTGTGTCTACGGCCTGTACCTGATTAGCTCACCACCCCGAGTCTTTCTCCTACCAATAGCCTCAGGTACCCCCCGATCTCTCAGCCTCATCCGGGTTCAGCCCCCCCTCAACCCCCAACCCCCCAACCAATCCAATCCCCAAACCGCAGACTTAAATCGCCTCCGTCCTTTCCGCCGCTCGACTCACACCGTGTTCAGCACCTCGCAGTCCAGTTCGGGGGAAGTATCAAGGCTTTATGCAGTATCGGCGTATGCGGCGGCGCGGATACCAGATGAGCCTTTCCGAGTCCGGTGTTGGGGGAGGGGGAGACCCCAACCTCGTTATATACTTATATCCCTTTATAGTTATGGAGGGTAAGCCCTGGGGATATGGGATTAAACACTTCTGCGTTCGGAAGTTGGGGTTTGATGATGCGTCCCATAGGGTAGTATCGGCTATAAGGAGTCTACATCCCGGCGCCGTCACTCCTACCTCGCGGATCGAAGAATAGCCCATCCGTGTCCGGCGTCGGCCCATCTATCTAGCCTCAGCCGTGTCGTCTTATGAAGAAAAGGATTCGCTCATCAGGAAATTCCATCTCCATCCCCCGTCTCTACATACATACAGCCTCTGACAAATACCATGGTTAGTTCATCCGTGTTAATCCGTGTTAATCCGTGTTAATCCGTGTTCATCCGTGTTAATCCGTGTTCATCCGTGTTCATCCGTGTTCATCCGTGTTCATCCGTGTTCATCCGTGTTCAGCAGCCATTGTCCAGTCTATTTCTAGCCTCCGCCCAAGCCGCTGACTACTATTTTGTAGCCGACTTCCCCCCTCCCGCCATCCAAACCTAGCGCCGTCTACCCATCTTGGCGCGTACGGCCACAGCCGCAAGGCGACCAGGCCAACCCCACACCCACGCCCCTAACCCTAAATCCACGGCTGAGTTGACGTAGATGATATCGACATCTCCCATGGACAGGGGCAGGAAGAAGGAATGAGGTGTGTGGATTGTCTTTCCCAGATAGAGAGAGAGAGAGAGTGGCGGGCAGTGTTGTCTCTGGAGGGAGGAGATAGAGATGGCGGGGGATCGACGAGCTGTAGGGCTGTGATGGGTGTGGGTGTGTGTGTGGGTGTACAGTATGTGTGGGTGTACTGTATGTGGGTGTACTGTATGTGGGTGTACTGTATGTGGGTGTGTATGTGGTGGGTGTGGGTGGTATGTGGTGGGTGGGTGTAGTGTGTGTATGTGGTGGGTGTGGTGGGTGTGGGTGGTATGTGGTGGGTGGGTGTAGTGTGTGTATGTGGTGGGTGTGGGTGGTATGTGGTGGTGTAGTGTGTGTATGTGGTGGGTGGGTGTAGTGTGTGTGTGGGTGGGTGTAGTGTGTGTATGTGTGTGTGTGTGTGAGTGGGTGTGTGAGTGTGAGTGGTGTGTGAGTGTGAGTGGGTGTAAGTTGGTGGGTGTATGTGGTGCATGTGTCTCTCGTCACCAGTATTCCCCCCACACACCACACATTATACACCCACCCCACACATACCGAGTACCACACACATATCAAAGGCCTCTTCTTGCTCGTCACGTGAACCAACCTCCCTTCATTCACGTGCCCCATCCCATCGTCTCATCTCGTCCCGTGTTGGCTGTTGGCCTGTTGGAGCCGGTTGGTTGCTGTTGAATGTTGAACAAGCCCGGACACTGGTCGGTGGCCGTGGTCTCGTGCATGGTCGTGTCCGTGCTGCCGGCTGGAATGTTCTCCGTCTGTCTAGAGTCTATATGTAGTGCCTCCTACCTGCTCTGGTCGTCTTTGTCCTTTGTCCTCCTCCTTCCGTTTCTATCCCCCTTCCGCTTCTATCCCCTCCCGCCCCTTCCTCCTCGGATACCCACCTTGTACCGCGTAACTCCCGTCACCGACCGCGTTACTGCCGCCGATACACGTCCACCGTCCAAGTCCAAGTCCAAGTCCAAGTCTAAGTCCAACACCTCTTTCATCTCCTCGGTCGCTCGGTCGCTCGGTCGCCCACTCGCTCGGTCGCTCACTCGGTCGCTCGGTCGGTCGCTCACTCGCTCACTCGGTCGGTCGCTCGCTCCTCGGTCCCTTTCCCTCATTCCTCTCACCCTCCCCCCCTTGCCTCTGCCCGCTGCATTTGTCGGTCGTTTGTCATTTCATGATTTCTCCAATCCAACAATGGCCGCTCTTCCCTCCCTCCTCGGCCTTACTCGCCCCGGCTCTCTCCCATCGCCACGCCCCTCCCAAGTGAAACACCCACACCTCGCCGGCGCATCCATCGCAAAACCCAGCCGAGACACTCGTACACACAGCTACTACGACGACTGATGGGTACATACATGCACGTCGAGTATTGCGGGTTACAGTATGTTGTGTGCATCTAGATATCTATTTTGCTTGGTATGTACCCGGATGTAGGTACCCTACACACAGAAACAGGACAACAACAGATGGTGGTTGTTTCTATTTTCCATTCGTGTACTCGAGTACGCATACCACATCATACCCGATACGGCTTCTGGGACATGGGATGTGGGATGTGGAGTGGAGTAGATATGATATCCAGGCTGTTGGGATCGTGTATTCCCATCTCACCGAGCGAAGCCGGCGGGACATGCAACATGCAGGATGCAGGATGCAGGATGCAAGATGCAAGATGCAGGATGCAGGATCAAGATGCAAGATGCAAGATGCAAGATGCAGATGCGCTACTCTACAGACACAATATCGTCTTCTGTTCTAACAGGTACACTCCCTTCCATACAGCTAGGATAGAGTAGTGACGCAGACAGGTAGTGGATATGGTAGTGGATATGGTAGCTGTGGTAGTACCCAATCATCCCCCATTCCCCCCTTCCCCCCAACTCATACTCTATCCTCTCCCCACTCTCCAACTCTCCCCACCATCCCCACCATTCCCATTATCCCCACTATCCCCACTATCCCCACTATCCCAATCATCCCCATTCTCCCCACTCTCCCCACTCTCCCCACTCTCCCCACTCTCCCCACTCTCCCCACTCTCCCCACTCTCCCCACTCTCCCCACTCTCCCCACTATTCCGCTCTCTTCCTGCACAGAACTAACTAACTGTCAGCACTGGAATGCCCTCTTCCAATCCATCTTCCAATCTGTCTTCCAATCTGTCTTAAAATCTGTCTTCCAATCTATCTTCCAATCTGTCTCCGAGCTCTGAGTCGTGAATAATGCTCGCGGCACCCTCGGTGAGACGTAGCACTCTCACCTCGACTAGACTAAACTCGCTCTCGCACGTCTCGCACGCTCACTCACACACTCACTCACTCACATACACAAACATACATCATCGCCATCATCGCCATCATCGCCATCATCATAGCTTCGGGGATACCCTCATCTCCTCGGCGTTCCTTCCTCATCCCCCACACCACCACCACCACCTCCCGTGTACACTAATAGGCTCTCATCACACCCATAACACGCAATACGGGCGGAGCATATGCGTCCACCACAAAGAGAAATCTCGACAATAGAGCTTGTCACTCCTACTCAGCCCTCAACATTCCTCGCTTCTCCCATTTTTCTAATTTCATTGTTCCCAAGCCGCCAGCAAACCAACTCGAGGCCGCACGGGCTGTGTTATTTTGCTCTCCGGACGGTTATTTGCTCTCCGGACGGCTATTTGCTCTCCGGACTGTTATTTTGCTCTCCGGACAATCCGGATACCTTCCTTCTTTCTATTTGCGTGCCTGACATCTCATCGTCCCCCCCCTTCCCCCCCCCTCTCGCCCCCACTCCACCAATCCCCGCCATACCAACAACAGAACGGGGGAGTGAGTGAGACAAGCAGCCGTTGATAAATAAGTATACACCGTCGCCGCTGTCTCTCCCTCCCCCTCTTCTCACCTCTATTCCCTCCTCCACGGATTGATCGTCTCCCATCCCGCATCATCGTTTCGCCTTCCTCGGCTGCTGGCTCGATCGCCTCCCCCCAGCCAAGAGACCTTTCCTACTTCTTTTCTCACCCGTCGCACATCCCACACCCCCCCCGAGCCTCCTCCAATCGAGCCTGGCACCTCCTAGGTCACGCCGAGCTAGCATCGCTCGCCATACCCGCACCGCAACCCCACCCATCCAAAAGCGTTGCACCCTCCACCACACACCCCGGCCGGCGCGTCCGGAACAGATCTTCTCCAAAGCGAGCCCACTCACGATCTACTTCAAGAAGGCGTGGGCACGTCCCGCTCCCCCCGCGAGCTCTCCATTCGCCCATCAGAGGTTGCTTTTACCTCGCCTCAACCTCCCTCCGCTCGCCCTCAGCTCGCAATGGCCTTCCACCCTGCACAGCCGTACGCCCTCCAGCAGCACCTCCGTGACGGCAGTATGGGAATGGGCATGGGCAGGCAGCCGGGCTCGGGCCCGGACGCCTACGACGACTTTCTCGACCAGTATCTGACCTTTGAGGACACGGACGCTATGGGCGGTGGCGCAGCTGGGACTGGCCCAGGCGCTGGCAATGGTGCAGGCGCCGCTTCCGCTATGGTCCACGCTCGATCATCCTGTTCGCCCTTCCTTCCTAGATCAGCGATGGGTGCACACTCGGAACCTTCTCCGCGAGATACCGACGACCTGATGCTGCAATTCCCCCGGCCCCCGCAGCAGTCGCCTCACCACCATGATGAAGATGACCAGCAGCAGCAGCAGCAGCAGGAAGATCTCGACCAGGACCACGACAACGATCACGAGCACGAGCACCACCGGCCACAACAACAGCAGCAACAACAGCAACAACCACAGCAGCAACAACAGCAACAACCACAGCAGCAACAACAGCAACAACCACAGCAACCCTGGGCCTCATTTCCCCCAACCCATGCATCACCGCCACTGCGCTCCAGTCGGGGACGCCAACAAACATTCGCCGAGCATTGCAGCACGCGAGCCACGATCTCCGATTCGGACCTTCTAAGCCTAGAAGGCATACATCTCAAATCACCACGCTATCCGCCGTCACCACCGCCGAACCACCCGCGTCCCTCGACGGCTAACTCTGTCGTCGGCACCCCCAAGACTCTCAATAGCAAAGCCAGCAAAGGCTCTCTCGGCGGCTCTGGACCCTCTCTCCGTAGAAAGAAAGCCTTCTCCCGCTCCTCCTCCTCCTTACACGCCAAAGACTCCCCCGCCACCCCAAACATCGTCACAACCACCGACCCCCACATCCGCACCCCCAGCCGCTCCGCCAGCCGCGGCGCCATCCGGAAATCAGCATCCATCAACATCTCCCCCGCCAAAATGCAGGCCCAGTCCGTCGCCGCGCTCGACGAATGGACGCAGCGCATGGCAGTCGCCGAAGCAGCAGCCTTCGAGTTCGGCTTCGGACAAGGCGGAATCCCGATGACGCCCCCGCCGAGCGCGCGGGTGAGCGATACGAGCAGTGCGAGCGAGCGCGAGATGGGCGGCGGCGGGTCGAGGAGTGCCCTGGCAAGGAGCCACTCGCGGTCGATGCCGCAGACGCAGCTTGCGGCGATGGGGCCGGCAATCGAGCAGGGCGGGGGAAGTTTGCCGTGGACAACGCGGCTGCCGCCGCAGCAGCAGCAGCAGCAATTTACGGTTGTGCGGAATGGGAAGATGTTGCATGCCCCTGCTGAGGTGGGGGAGATGAAGTTTGTGGATGCGTTTTCGTTGCCGTATGGTGTTGGGTGGGGCGGTGGCGATTTTGGCGGGGTGTTGCAGGGGACGGAGCAGCAGGAGGAGGAGGAACAACAGCAGCACCAGGCGAGGCAGCTGCAGTTGCAGCAGCAGCAGCATCATCAGAGTTTTTCGTCGCTGCCGGAGTATGTGGAGGTTGATGGAGCACATGGGTGGTGGTCGCAGGAGAATCATGTTATTGAGATGGGGGATGATGCGAATGATGGCTCGTCGAGGCATAGATTGCCTCATAAATCGCTCTCTATGCAAATCGCACCTTCAGGACCATGGGGCGGAGATGAGATGAACACCGACGTGGTCGATATTGACGTGGACCTCGACATCTCACCATCGATGCCAACGGATACAAACGGCCACGCGATGATGACCATGTCGCCCTCCGGATCCCAAGTATCACTTCAACAGATCCAACAACACCAACAACAATTTCAACAACAACAACAACACCAACAACGCCAGCATCAACAACAACAACAACACCTACAACACCGGCAACACCAGCAACACCAGCAACACCAGCAACAACAACACCAACAAACCCAAAACGCATACATCCCCACCACCCCCCTCCGGCACCAACGCTCCGGGTACTCAACCCACGAACCCCCCCACCCCTCCCCCCACACTACATCCCCTCCCCCTCCCCGCACCGGCGCCGTCACCGCACATCCCCTTCGCCGACTGCATCAGCATCTACATCATCCCTCTCCTTCTCCCTCCCGCACACACAGGCTCAGCAATCGCTAAGCCACGCACAAGCGCAGCAGCACCTCCACGCTGCGCTGTCGACGCCGAATTTCTCGACGCCGAATGCGTATCCCGCCACCGCTAACGGGGGGCCGATGCGCCAAATGGTGCGGAAGCACAGCGCGCCTACCATCTCTGGCGCCCTCCCCGTGGGTGTGACGGCAAGGTCGCGCACACCGGTGTTGGGGAGGCCGAGGAGTACAGGGCCGCCTAGTCGGCCGAAGAGTGCTGGTGGGGGACGGCCAAGGAGCGGGACGGGGCATGGGAGGAGTAGGTCGTTTGGGGGGAGTAGGGAGAATGTATCTACTGCTTCTATGACTGCTGCTAATGGCGGCGCTGGTGGTGGCGGAGGAGGGGGGGGGGCAACGATCGAATTCCACAATTTCACGCCCCTGGATGGATCGAGGATCTTATCTGGCGTGGCACCGAGTGGGAGTTCGAAAACCAAAGCGCGACGCGAGCGCGAGGCGGCGGAACGGAGGAGGAGGTTGGGGAGGGCGGCGGTGAGGGCGGTGGAGAGGGCGGGGGGGGACGTGAGGGATGTGGGGAGGTTTTTGAGTGAGGGGGGGGAGTGGGGGGAGTTTGGTGGGGGGGAGGGGGGGGAGGGGTTTGTGGTCAGAGAGGGGGGGTTTGATGAGGGGATGGGGGAAGGGGGGTTTGTTGTTGATGGGGGTGAGGGGTATGCTGGGGATGGATCTTTCGAGAGGTGAAAAGCTTGGGGAAAAGTTTGTCATTCAAAAGTTGGATGCCGGAAGACGGGTGAGAGGAGAGTGAGAGTGAGCTGGGGTGGTTGATTGGTGTCTTTGGGGTTATTTTGATTTCGGTCGGTCTTATCATCTTTTTTTCCGGGGTTTTGGTGGTTTTGGTTGCTTTTGGATCGGTGTCTTGTGGGGGTGTAATCGGGGTCGTGGTTGAAAGGGGGGGTTCGGTATAAAGTATATTATTAGTCCGTTCTGATTCTCTTTCGTTCTTCTTTGTTTTATTTAATTTTTCCTTGTAGGGAGTCGAGATTTTTCATTTTTGGGTTATGGGGTTAGAGGTTGGGGCATGGGCATGGATATGGCGAGAGCGGGAAGATGGCGAGACCGGGAGAGGAGTGCGAGGGAGGAAAGGGGGGAGAGGGGGAGAGTTTCATATTACCATTCATGTACTGTACGTTAGTTGGTCTTGTGTTGTAGGTTGAGAGGTATAGGTTTATTTAATCAGTTCGCTCACATCATCATCATCATCATTACTATAAATACACCTCGAAATGGGCTTTTCGAACAACTTTCCACCCGTATAACAAAGCATAGGCAGAACTCAAGATAGAGCGTGTTCAATAACACTATTTAATAGATGCGGATGTGGGTGCGCCGTGCGCCGTGCGCCGTGCGTGTACAGCTACGTACGTGGTGGCGGAGGAAAGGGAGGTGGTGAGAAGGTGTGCGGTGGTGAGAAAGTGAGACGGTGAGAACCACCCGACAGCAGTAATAAAAGAGCTGGAGGTAGAGGTGGATGATGATGATGATGATGATGATGATGATGATGATGATGATATTTATTTACGTCCAGCGGGACGCGGGTGTAACCCGCGGCCCTAAGACTTCCCGAAGGATATGGGGACGTGCTAAGCTATGGGTTTATGTACAGAGTATGACCTTAGAGAGCAGTTCTTGCGTCGTGTTTGCGTGGCTGTAAGGCTCGTTGACTAAGTGCCTTCCCCGCTAGTTAGGATGGTGTTAGGTTTGCTAGTAGAGGGCGGTGCCTTGGAGGTTCTCCCGAAAGGGGGTGTATGCAGGACCGGTTGGTCTGATGTTATAGCCACTGCGAGTGTAGTGTGTAGTGTGCCCTGCGGCCTTGCTGCGGAGTTGAGAGGTGGAGGTGGAGGTGACAAGACACGACGATAGCGCTCTCCCGAACAACGCCTTAACCCTAACTCGAGCCCCTAGTGGGAGAAGAGGGAGGGGGATACTGTGTGTGTTGGCTTCATAGGATTTTGGAGAAAGACGGCTTGTTATAATACTTGTGAGTTGTTTGGTTTTCAAGTTCGTGCATTCACTTGCGTGTGTTTATCGACTGTTTGCACACCACCAAGAGAGCCGAAACAAAGCAGCTGCACGCCAGTTTCCCGCTGACTACAAATTAACGAAAGGCTGCAGATAGACGCACTAAGGCGGCACTACGGAATGGGATACTGCTGCCCCCTATTTGCCGCAGGGGATAGGAGGTCGGAAGTGGAACTCTTCATTTGCTCATTTGTTATATAAAGATGGTAGGGGTGCGAATATGTTACAGAATCAGGGAGAACTTGAACAGGCGTGACAAGAGGTACGCGGCGGTTGTGAGAAGTGCGGCGATAAGAGAAGCAAGGTGCGGGAGTGGGATGAGCGCAGTTGCTCTGGAGCCGTAAGGCCTCGTCTGGGGGTGCCACTTTTGTCCATACACCATTTATATTATACTCGGATAGTTTATCGTAGGATAGGTGCAGAGGATATTGAGGGCGTGGTAGGGTGCTATTTATATGAAGCTATGCCGAAGAATGCATCACATCGGCGAATTATATCTCAGGTGACGAATGAAAGAGACCGACTACGAAGCATCGCGCCGAGGTCTAGGAAACATCTACATTAAACACTCCATTCATTATCTACTCAGGCACCCTACTTATTCAGTCCCATCTTATCTAATTACATCGTTCATCTCATGACACAGTCGGGGCTGCTCAACTACACAACCGACTAGCTAGATCCAGAAACAAATAGTCGGAACACCCTTCCCCCATACACTACTCATACACCCCTCACTTTCCCCATGTTCTCCTAGATAAAGCCAGAAGAAAAATCACAGCAACGCAACGCCCCGAAACTGGTAGTGATCGTAGTGTGTAAACTCTACAGACCGTACTCACTAGACAACCAATCCACCGACACATACTTTTAAATTACACAACATCTCTCCCTCCTTCTCAAATCAAATCCCTTCAGCGTGTTAGACATCACTGGGGTGTTGTCGGAATTTTTCATTCCTGCCACTTACGTCAGTGCTGTCATCTCATAATACACTGGGTCAGGAAGTCTCACCTTAGCGAACCTGCGACATCGCGGGAGCCCCACCTCCGCCGCCGCGCTTCATGCCGCCGAATCCACCCTTGAGGCCTGCCATGACCATAGAACCGATGAAGCAGGCGAAGAGGAACCAGAAGAACGCACAACTGGCTTGCAGCTCGCGGCAGTGGCGGGTGGTGGAGCCGTTGTCGCGCAGAATGGGCCTGGTCTCGAGGTAGCCCTGTGAGGTGTCAGTTGGATTCAGCTCAGGATTTGGCGGGAGTTTCGGATGATGATGTGGGGAGTGGCGTGATGTGTGGAATTGGGATGACTTACGCGGTTGTTGCAGCTGTGCGCACCGAGCTTCTTCGCTAGGACGACGCCTGCGATGAAGGTGAACATGGTGGCGAAGGCGTCGAGGATGATCAGAACGATGGGGATGGCGACGGATTCGATGACGGCGGCGGCCATGCCGTAGATCCAGACGATCCAGCAGAAGACGATGGTAAACATGGCATAGTTGGTGGGTGCGTTGTTGGAGGTCTTGCCGGCGAGAACGTTACCAATGAGGGCTGTGAGGAGGAGGATCCAGAGAAACTGGAGTCCACGTAAGATGATCTGAACAACGCTCATGATGGCGGTTAGGGTATTATCCAAATAAGTGGTGGTTTTGAGGGTTGACGGGGTCGAGACAAGGGTCTGGACGGCAGCGGGCACGCTGGGATATGAAGCTGTGCTCTTTTGGGTGAAATATCCGGGGATCAGCTCAGGCGTTTTGGTGAAGGTGGTGCGTAGGTTTTGTCTCGAAGGTCAAAGGTTTTGAGTTGTAGATAGATGAAGCTTGGGGGCCGGCAGGGTTAAGGGATTTGTGCTTTTTGTGCTTGGGGTAGGGGCCAAGGGCTGGTTTTTTCGGTCGATGATGAAAGAGAGAGTCATGATAAGGTAAGGTGGGGGGGGGCGGTGACGATGTGCGCTGTAAGCTGGGAAGCGGCGAGGGTTCTGGCAGGATGACGCAGATAGCATAGAAAAGCAGGCAGATGGAGGGCGGGAGAGGCGTGTGAGAGGTGTTGGAGAGGTGTGTGTGGGCGGGAATAGTGTAGTATAGTTTAGTGCGCGGGATGACGGAAGGTTGTGTCAAATAGATTGGAGATATATTTGTTCGTATGATATGGGTAGGTGTTTGATCCGAATGGATTTCTTGTGTGATGGGTGTTGGGGAGGATATATAGTTTGTTGGGATTCTATCGTGTGTAACTCTTTATCCCATGATTTGTTTATATTTAATCCTATAAGTTAGCTTATAACTATTTGATTATTCATATCTGCAGCAACGTTGAAACAAGACACGGACGCACGACACACAGGGGGGTGTTTGGGGGATATCGAAACTGCCATTTTGGCACAGCAACTGCCGAGTTCCAGCTGCCGAGTTCCAGTATACGAACACCGGCCGGTGTCCGAATGAATACTAAGCGAAAAACACTGCGCACACCCCTGTCTAGTCAGCAATTACGTAACTCAGTCACTATGTAGAAATCCACAAGCCAGCGAGTCCACTACTGGTCAAAGTGATAAGTGATTCTGATTCATAGTTGTAAACGTAAGATTCATAATAGTAGAAATGAATCACTTAATAAGAAGTGATTCATAGTAATAGAAGTGATTCACAGTAAGAATACCCCTATTTCGACATGCCTTATTCCTCCTCGTGCCTTTCCTTTCTTCTTTCTAATATTATCAACTCTTACTTCAACCCCTTTACCACCATCAATCACCAACTACAAGCTGATATCAGGAAGGGAAGCAGTTCGAAGTGAGTAAGACATTGCTTTAACATCCCTAGATGGTATGTCCGAGGGTGGTAGAATTCAATAATAAACAGACAAGACCAAGAAGATGGCCACCTACACCAACAAAATGAAGGCAGCTGGCTATGACCAACAAGACTATTGATCGTATACTAGAACTTGTGACTGAGTTACGTAATTGCTGAACAGTCCGTAGTGTTTTTTGCTTAGTATTCGGACACTGGTCCCTATACTGGAACTCTACTCGTACTTTGGATTAATTAAATGTATGTACCTACATACATTTATTAATCCAGCCTAGGTAGGGTGGTGTCGCTACCCCTGTAGTAGAGTAGTCCAATAAAAACCCGAGTAATGTTATGTTGCTATGAACGTCTTCGGATTTATACTTTATGTAATGACGCAAAATGGTCAACAACGAAGCTGTTATTGATGCTAATGGGTGGCATACAAAATATTAATGTAGATTATTATTTTTGTTAAACCTAAAGTACGAGTAACATCACCCCACCAAAGGCCAGTTACTTTCCCGCCAATCACCCCGAAGCCCAAAGAATCTACGTCATCACTCTCAAATCGCTGTAATCGTGACTGTGTGATCTCTGATTCGCCAGAGCTCTCCAAAATATGCGCTTGTCTCGGTAGCGACTCTGCTTGGCGACAGAGCTAGACAGATGCCACTTACAAATGTTGGAGTCTCGACTTCAATCTTGACTTCTTCCAGACTTCCAAGTCATAAATTTGACTCACAACCAACCATGGCTCCGTCATGACATAAAACCTCAGCCATCTGGGCTAGACGTTCCTTACAAATTGGAATCTGGGCTGACCTGCTGTGAATAGCTTCTACTATACTGCTTTGGGCATATGGTCCCAAGGACTATAAAGTTTCCATTGCCCGCTTTCCAGAAGTCAAACATTTGGCCATCGAGATCTCTTGTCAGCCACAGCGATTCCGTGATGCAGATACCTCCAACTATACGGAGAGTCATGGCTACTGCGGGGCCAGAATGACCTTTTGACTGAGCGTGGACCTACCACATCCCGGCGTTTAGGAAGTACGGTAACCTTCGACCAGCGAGCTCTCGCCAATGACTGTGATGCGGAATTACGGATATCTTCCGACATGCGTGCTGCCTTGAGAAGAGCAGCTGCGACTTTGCTGGCATGACGTTCCCCTGGCAAGGAGGAGCCTTCGACCATCGAGGTCTCCGAATAACTTCTACAACACATGGCCATGGTTACCACAGGGTCAACATGGCCTGCTGTTTGGATGAGCATGAAGCTCCCATTCTGCAACTACAAGAAATAAATAACCTTTAGTATATAGAATCACACGATGAAAACACAAGACTATGCCACCATTCGCAAACGTGCCTGTCCTGACAGGACCCTGGCAGGAACCATTGGAACAGGAGAGAGCGCAAGTGATTCGGAAGGATAAACCGAGAGAAGCCGAGCACATCGCTGTATTTATCTACAATCGTCGGTAGGTACGACCCACTGTAGCTGTCAGCTCTATTTCGATCCAGACTGAGGTCCTACGATGGTGAGCTGATCTAGCGGGGGCAGGTATTTGCCAATTTCCCTCCCATGTATGTTCTTGTATGGCCCTTGTTCTCGCTTCCTTTCTTGCCATGCTAAAATATAAATTTTTGAGAAAAAGTGTTACTCAATATCACCACTTTTATCTTCTCCCAGTCGTTTTTTCAAGTATTTCTAAACAGAGAGGCAGGTTTGATCCTGTCTCTTAATCAGTCATGGTTTTCGTCGACGGATATCCCGACACAGCGTTTTGTCGACGAGCCGGACTACAGGCGACCTCTCTTTACTAACGGGCCTATCGACGATCTTCGAGACTTGGCTCCCAAGCTACACACGTTGAAGAGCGATGCAGACATCTGCCCTTGTATCGATGACTGGGCCGAGAACAGCATGTTTGAAAGCGGCCCCAGCAACAAGCCCACCATCCCAGCGGATGCCAGCGACATTGGCAACTTCCTCCGCGAACTTCGTGAATTTAAAGAATCCGGTTCAAAGTCGGCGGAGAATCAGAACAACATAATCAGTGGACACAGCAGCTCGGCCGCCCACCCCTCAGCCACATCGAATAACTCAAATGGCTTCGCCAGATCCAGCAATCACATGGGGACAATGCCGGAGGACTTGAGGCCATTTGCGACTCTTGCGAACCCAGTTATAAAGCGGCCAGTCCAGAACGGTGCAAACATCAGGGGCCCCACGGTATACGGTTATCCACCTGGTCGCCTGGCTGTTATGCCAGACAACAAAAGAAGACGAGTTTCCACAGCAAAGGTACTGAGCAGTCCCACTGTTTATCCCAAATCCCGGATTGCAGTCACCCCTACCAAGGCCCATATGCAAGTCCATCCTGGTGCCCCGGAGTTATCTCCCCCAGATGAACCGCAAACCCATACTCACAAAACGGGAAAGAGCAACCCAGTTAGCCGAAAATGGGCCACCGAGGCTAAGGCCGCTCCTTCCGTTCCCACTTGCGAGCCGTCATCAAGGCCATCAAATGCTGATGCCGAGGGTGTATGCTCCACGGACAGCGATACCACTCCAACGATTTCGTCAAAGTCACGTGAGAACAGTGGTTCATCTGACTCCACGGTCCCTGATACACCAAAGGGGCCCCCACCTGCCCCGAAAGACCCTCCAGCACCTACATCTGGCGGCCCGGGCACGCGGAGCAAATCAGCTGCGGTAGACGGCGCGGCCAATGGGAAGAATCCGACCAGCGCCGTTTCCGCGAAGCGCAGCGCCTATCATGCGAGATATATGTCCTGGTTGAAGAGTTGTCCCGATGCAAATTCAAACAATCGCAAGGAGTATCGCACTAGAGGTCGTTACCTTGGTTTCCTGATTGCCAGCAGTAACGCACCCGGTGTGGAAGCTTCATCAGATGGCCTTGATGTTCGCAACGGTGTCCTCTGCCAGAATGGCATACCTTTGCCTGTGATGAATGGCGTGAACGGCTTTTCTGTGGATAACGCTCCAGTGGCACCATATCATCTACCGCCGCCATGTGACTCTACAACTCACAACGGATCAATGTACGGCTCTACGATACACAATAGTTCAGCGATGCAGAATAGCTCAATTCAGACGTATGGCCCACCGATGCAGAATAGTCCATTGCCTCAGAATAGTGCTGCAATGCAAAATGGTACAATGTCAATGCCGCAGAACATCCCGCCAACATACGGCTATCAGATGCATGGAGGCTTGGTGCCGCCGTTTGTCGCACCAATGCAGAGTGACCCGGTGCCTGCGACCGGTCCCCCGATGCAGAGTTTCTCAGTGCCTGTGACTGGTGGCCCGATGCAGAGTTTCTCAGTGTCACCGTTTATCGCACCAACACAGAATGGGCCAGCGCCTTCGAACAGCGTCCCGATGCATAATGGCGCAATGCCACCGAACAGAGCCTCGATGCAGAATTTGCCAGTTTCTAAGAACATCCCTCTCTTGCGCAATGATCTTATGCCGCCATACGCCGGACCGATGCAAAATGGCGCAGAGCCTCCGAATGGCTGTCCAATCCAGAATGGCCCGATGCCTCAATACGCTTTACCAATTCAAAATGGTTCAGCGCCCCAATATGGCCATCCTATTCGGAATGGCTCAGTGCCATCATACGGCACTTCAATGCATAATGCTTCAATGCCACCATACGGTCATCCGATGCAGAATGGCCCAATGCCTTTTAATAGCGCGGCGATACACAATGGCCATATGCCGGCGTACAGAGCACCGATTGAGAATGGCATTATGCCGATATACGACCCACCAATGCAGAATCCTCTAAAGCCCACGAACGGCGGGAATTTTGTCAATGTTGCCAATGCATACATTTCTATTGCTGGAAATGGTTCCCTGGAAATGGTTTTCCAGGATATGGTTACAATGGACAAGATATCAACGGACATGCTATCAACGGACATGCTATCAACGGACATGCTATCAACGGACATGCTATCAACGGACATGCTATCAACGGACATGCTATCAACGGACAAGCTATCAACGGACAAGCTATCAACGGACAAGCTCTCAATGTACAAGCTCCCCATGGAACAGCGCCCCCAAAGATGCAAGCCCCCAGTGGACAGGGCGTCGGTGGATATGTTCCCAATGGCCCCAATGGATGCGCTCCGAATGGACAGGGGCTCAATGTATCTATTTTCGGTATGCAAACCTCTAATGGAGATGATAACAACAGCCGACTTGTTATTGGGTACGTTCCCAACGGCAAACAGCTCCAACGTGATATGTTGCTAACGAATACAGCCCTAAGGGACAAGCCTAGGGGTTTGGGACAAAGCACTAGGGTGAATGGTATATTCCCCGCCGTCATTGGAAATGACTAGCAACAGAAGAATATTCGCTCGATGATACTATCGCCGGCAGAGGAATCTGGTGGGAACCTAGTGGTGGGGGTATGGAACCGCAAATTGATGATTTGGTTTTTTTTAGTTCTTGGGACTGCTAGGAAGGGGTTTTTATGGTTATGGGTGTTGTTTGTTTGAATTTCCGTATGAACGGGAACAGCATTGTTAAATTTATGTGTTGGTGTTTGTTTACAATGCTTCACAGTACAGCAGTTTTCGTCGCGGTAAAACCCACCAAGGTATCGGTGGTTCGCTTATCGGGTTATCAATACAACACATATCTATTAAAGGAAGGTCTTTTGTGTGCCTTACCCCCTCGCGTCACCAAAGTAACTAAGACATCACTGTGCCCACAGCTCTTCGAACTCGGGGGAGTTATGTCCTCGATGTCTGTATCCAAAGTATCGGTAGGTCGCCGGGCAAATATGGCTGTAGAAGGCAATGTACCTCTTGCTATCGACGCGTTCTCTCGCGAGAGGGGAATATCACTACATCTCTCCAAAGTCGCTGATTTCCCCGCACGTGAACAAAAGAGACGCTCCCCATGGTCATTGTACCCGCGCATTGTCTCATTAGTTTGCGTTCTCCTCGTCTTGCTGTACTTTGCCTTGCACGACACGCATCTCGGTCGCCTCGTGCGACGGGGGCAGTCCGATCAGGTAGTGGTGTTGCCGGCACTGGGGGATGGGGTTTTGGAGGTCTTTCAAGTGAACGCGCCTGTCGCTGTTGATGATGATGAATGCAAGGTACTGCTCATGGAGCATTCATTTGGGTTTAGCTACGGCAAGCCGTTTGTGGGTATGTAATATTGGTCTATGAGTTTCAGATCTGAGCCGTGTTGACTGTGTGCAGGAAACTATAACCCGCCATCGTGCAAGTTCAAGCGCGTGGTGATGAATTTCACTGTTACGTCTCGAGGGCGACAGTTTGACAGGCTGGCACTGATGTATCTCAACGACACCGAGGTGTGGCGGACGTCCACTGCCGAGCCGACAGAGGCTGGGATCCAGTGGACATATATCAAGGACATGACGCCCTATCTGTCCATGTGGAGGCAGCCCCAAAAAGTTATCTTTGATCTCGGGAACCTAATCGATGACAAGTACACCGGCGCCTTTAACACGACACTATCGCTCACCTTCTCCACCGCCTCTGCCGCACCACCAGCAGCCGGCTTGATCCTCCCCCTCTCCGCCCGCCGCTCCGCTTCCAACTCCCCTAGCGTCTTTACTCTCCCCGACCAACGCGCTCTAACCACACATGTCCTTCCCCGCAACGCGAACCGCGCCACCATCTCTCTATCTGCCTGCGGCCAAGCAGCTGAGGAGTTCTGGTGGAGCAACGTCCCCTCCGCCGCGATATCGACATTCACCAATACGACCGGCGAGCTGCCAGGGTTCTCGCCCTGGCGCGAAGTGCAGATCCTAATCGACGGGCGGCTGGCGGGCGTGCAGTGGCCGTTCCCGGTAATTTTTACAGGGGGCGTAGTACCAGGGCTGTGGCGGCCGATCGTGGGTATCGAGGCGTTTGATCTGCGCGAGTATGAGGTCGATGTCTCGCCATGGTTGGGGCTGCTAAGTGATGGCGCACCGCATGAGTTTGAGATTAAGGTTGTGGGGATCTCGGGGAAGACGATCGCGGAGGAGGTGGGGAGTAGTTGGCTTGTGACGGGGAAGGTATTTTTGTGGCTTGATGAGCCGGGGAAGGTAACGACGGGGTCGCCTATCAGTATCGCGAAGGATGGGTTTGGGACGGGTTCGAAGTTGGCTACATCGCAGGATCCTGCGGGGGCAAATGTCACGCTATCCACCCAGATCTCCGTACACCGTGAGCTTGATATTAGATCCACCATCACCACCGCTGGAGGGGCTCGCGTCGTCTCCTGGTCTCAGCAGCTCACCTATGCTAACGTTAATGATCTCTCCGCCTACGGTGTTACGCAGTTCACGAACCTCTCCCGCACCGCTACAGACTCTCTCACCTCAGACCTGTACGACCGTGGCCCAAGCGCGAAGTACTCGCTTGTGGTAGATAGTGAGTACCGCGTTGACCCCGAACACGAGGGTGACCTCGCTATCAACGCTACGTCCTTCTGTGAGGTCGAGTACCGCACGGGCCGAGGTAGCGTGTTCAATTCTGGTCTCGAACCTGGGGCGAGTGGGCGCGTGAGGACGACGCAGGAGGGAAAGGTAACGTATGTTTCCAAGAATGGAGCGAGTTCGGGGACAGTGGCGACGAAGCAGGTGTTTGTCCTGGAGGCTCTGGCAAAAGGAGAGCCGGTGGAGATTTATAACAGGGATGTCGGTGCGGTTGGGGGGGTAGTTGTTTGGGATCGTGGAAGTGACGGTAGTGGTGGGAAGGGGGTAGAATATACTGGGGCCCCGGCGGTAGTGAGGTTGGAGGAGAGTGTGGGCAGTGTCAGGGAGGTACTTGGTAGAGGTCCGGGGAGTACAAGGAAGGTGCTGGTAATGGGTGGGGAGTAAATGATCATGGTTGAAGTGTTGAGAAGATCTTAATAGGATTTACTCTTCGGAATTAGTCCAACCTAGCTCTTTTTCCAAATACATACTTAACTACGTCTTCAATGAGGAAGTCCTGCTTCGCCCTATCCCCGCATTCTTGATATTTGAGCCTCCCTCAGCTCGTTTATCCCTAACATTCGCCACGATTTCACTCAGTTCGGATGCATATCCTCGTTTGGGAAATACATCCTGTCTGTGCCCTTATTACATCGGAAACCGGGCGGGCGCATGTGGGGATTAAGGTTAAAGCTTTAGTTTGCGGCCGACGCGGCCGCACGGTAACAAGAGTTACGCCGGCCACGTCGGCCGCATATACGGAGGATTCCTAAGACGCACGACGACGAGTAGGGAGGTGGGGACAGTCGGGCGTGCGAATGAGAGAGGTATAAGTAGCTTGATTTCCTTCTTACTTTCTGCAGTATATTTCTTGTTTCAGCGAACTTGCCGTACCTGGCATCGAAGGGGGCCGTGGAGCAGATAGTGAGGGTGCTGTCGAAAGATTTGGCAAGGGTGTCATGGTGAATGGGATAGCGCCCGGGCCGACGGGGACAGAGCTGTTTCTTAAGGGGTAGAGTGAGGCGGTGTTGGAGAGGATTAGGGTACGTCATGGGGAACCTAGACCACCGGTAGTGTGCGTCACGGGGGACCTACCCCATCGGTCCCCCGACAGACCGAACCATGGTCCGGTCCGTCCGGTCTGAAGCTCATAACCCACGGTTCCCCATCGGTCTGCCAAGAAACCGGTCACGGGACTAGGGTTGGTTAACAATCATGTGTAGATAATATGTATAATGTTGTAATAGTCACATGATCTCCCGTGATCTCCATACGGATTATCGGTAAAGCCAAGTATAGGTTACATAGTCAGGAATATATACATTTATTACTCAACAGTTATGAGCCCGGAGCACATCTAGGTCACATTTTGAACGTCTTCGAACATCGTACAGACCTCAAACCCCTCCTAGGAGTCGATCACCATCATAATGGCGACCCTACAGAAGGTGGGGGTGGTCCTCACCAACCCAAAAGACTGGGATGAGTGGCTAGAGACGATTAAGACAGCTTCAATGAAGACAGGAGTGTGGAGTTATATTAATCCAGCATTAGATGACCCCCCTATTCTCGTACCACCTGTTAGGCCAGTTCCTAACTTCGTACGGACTGCAGCTCAGGCTGGTAGTGGCATGGTCCCTCAGACTACTCCACGGGTGTCAACAAGAGCAACATCAAGTCAGACAGCCCAACAAATCAATCGAAGCCTCCCAACCAATCATACCACTGTCATACTGACATTCGTTGCACTCAGTTTGCTATCAAACTCAAGAGCAAACTTAGAAATCTCCTCCTCAAACCTACAAGTCACCATACATATCTTGGCTTATCAACAACAAGAGCAATACTACTCAACGATTGCTGCAAACTCTTCTACTACATCTGTTTATGCTACATACATCATGGCATATCATTTGGACACTCATTGAACAAGTTATTAAGAAAATATCCTCCTTAAGGGGATGGGCCAATACTACCACATGGCATATCTCCACCAACTAGAGGCCTAGGAACATGAACGATAGTGTTACGACGGAACAAGAAGGCTGGCCAACTACAGGACAGGAAGGAGGGAGGTCGCATGAGACCGGCCCTGGTACCTGGAGGGGCAGCGGGGAATAGTAGTTCCGAAAGTATCACGTGACGGACTCGCAGGATGATGAGAAGAGTCCTAAGAGTCCAGGACTCCGAGGACTCGAGTGAGTTCCCAGGAGTCCACTAGGCACGTGACGGACTCGCAGGATGATGAGAAGAGTCCTAAGAGTCCAGGACTCCGAGGACTCAAGTGAGTTCCCAAGAGTCCACTAGGCACGACGCCACTATATAAGTAGATAGTATTTCCTTAGATAGGAGCTTCGTGCTCAACTCAATACAGTATTTGTTATATACTAGTAACGTGTTACTTGAAGCCTTTGTGTCTGATCCCCTGCCTCCTCTGATAAGTAAACCTTTACGCAAGAGAACCTCTGTGTCTTCTATCGTTTAGAAGTCAGCGTTACAGATAGCTCTAGAAGCTTCTACAACCATCTATGATTCATTACACGTCATCGCTCCTTAGTTACTCACAAGATTGGTTAAGTTATGACATAATTTGTCTATAGGTACTCTGACCTTGGACCTCCTTTTCACTTCCTATAGGCTAGGAACACAAGAGATGGTTCTATGGGATTCTCTTACGTTCGCTACATGATTAGCAAGCTAGTTGTGGGTCGCACTTGATTTCTAATACATTTACCAAGCCTGGTTAGTCATGGAAAGTCATGGAAAATGAGAGAACTACACTCCTTTGGCATAAATAGGATTGCCCTTTCCTTAAGAAAGGGCAAGCAGGCAATACAGTAAATCGACTATCACATACTTCTACGTCTTTTCCAAGCTTCCAAGCATTCATCTTGTTACTCCTTGTTTCTGAAAAGTCAGTGAGGTGTTAACCTCTGACTTACCCCTGAGTTCCCAGACTCAACATTTGTTGCAACTTGTCTGAACCACTTCACTACATCACACACCTGATTGCTGCATTGTGGAATAGTCTAAGCTACAACCCTTTGGCTCTGTTTCCTAAGACAGTGTGTTGTCTTAGTAAAATCATCCCTTCTTTGGGTGGCTAGATTCTCACATCTGGTGCACCCACCATTACAACCAATTACATACGGATCTCTCACACATGACCAGAAGGAAGAGCTTCGAAACCTACAAGTGGACTTCCAATATGATCGAAAAATATGGGAGAAACAGGAGGAAGCAATTCAGGGGCTACGGTCTAAGATCCAAGAAACTATTAGATGGGACTTCCTACCATACACATACAATTGTGATACTACATACGAAATGCTAGTAAGGCTTAAGGAGCAGTTTTGTCATGACACTCCTTCGATATTTGTGTCACGACCCTTCGATTCGCTTTAGTCTCTAGTACTTATTTCACTATGTCATTCACTTCACCTGCTTCGCTCACTTCGCTCACTTCGCTTCACTTGCTGACCTAGATCAGCCCAAATGTTGACTACTGGCTTAGGCTCTCTTGTTATTGGCTTGCTGCACTAGGGCTCGCTTAGCTAGGGTTCAGTTAATTAGTGCCTTCGCTTATTTGGCACTAGGGATTTTTACTGTTATATAAGCACTTATTGCTCATGTCTCTTATTGATCTTTAGCTAGCAAAATATATACTACTTGGCCTTCCTGCAATTCCTCCTGCTTCGACTTACTTTGCATTCCCTTACTTCGAGTCGAACCACTTGGCCAACCTGTTAGTCTCACCACTTGGCCCCTGTGGTATAAAGTATATGCTTTGGAGCCTGAACTACTATACCTTGTCCTACTGCTTAGAGTATCGAAGTCTTCACATTATACTTCAGATACTTCTGCAGACTTGAAGGTCAGCCTCGGTTCGAACTGTCCTTACAGGTTTGCACCAACTACACGAGCTAGGCTTGAGGAATGGAGGAGTGAGTTGTAATGGTGGGTGCACCAGATGTGAGAATCTAGCCACCCAAGGAAGGGATGATTTTACTAAGACAACACACTGTCTTAGGAAAGAGCCAAAGGGTCGTATGTCATACTGACATTCGTTGCACTCAGTTTGCTATCAAACTCAAGAGCAAACTTAGAAATCTCCTCCTCAAACCTACAAGTCACCATACATATCTTGGCTTATCACACCAACAACAGAAGCAATACTACTCAACGATTGCTGCAAACTCTTCTACTACATCTGTTTATGCTACATACATCACGGCATATCATTTGAACACTCATTGAACAAGTTATTAAGAAAATCTCCTCCTTAAGGGGGTGGGCCAATACTACCACATGGCATATCTCCACCAACTAGAGGCCTAGGAACATGAACGATAGCTCTAGAAGCTTCTACAACCCTCTATGATTCATTACACGTCATCGCTCCTTAGTTACCCACAAGATTGGTTAAGTTATGACATAATTTGTCTATAGGTACTCTGACCTTGGACCTCCTTTTCACTTCCTATAGGCTAGGAACCCAAGAGATGGTTCTATGGGATTCTCTTACGTTCACTACATGATTAGCAAGCTAGTTGTGGGTCGCACTTGATTTCTAATACATTTACCAAGCCTGGTTAGTCATGGAAAGTCATGGAAAATGAGAGAACTACACTCCTTTGGCATAAATAGGATTGCCCTTTCCTTAAGAAAGGGCAAGCAGGCAATACAGTAAATCGACTAGCACATACTTCTACGTCTTTTCCAAGCTTCCAAGCATTGATCTTGTTATTCTCTGTTTTTGAAAAGTCAGTGAGGTGCTAACCTCTGACTTACCCCTGAGTTCTCAGACTCAACATTTGTTACAACTTGTCTAAACCACTTCACTACATCATACACCTAATTGCTGCATTGTGGAATAGTCTAAGCTACAACCCTTTGGCTCTGTTTCCTAAGACAGTGTGTTGTATTAGTAAATTCATCCCTTCCTTGGGTGGCTAGATTCTCATATCTGGTGCACCCACCATTACATCGTAGCTTAGACTATTCCACAATGCAGCAATTAGGTGTATGATGTAGTGGAGTGGTTTAGACAAGTTGTAACAAATGTTGAGTCTGAGAACTCAGAGATAAGTCAGAGGTTAGCACCTCACTGACTTTTCAGAAACAAGAAGTAACAAGATCAATGCTTGGAAGCTTGGAAAAGACGTGGAAGTATGTGATAGTCAATTTACTGTATTGTCTGCTTGCCCTTTCTTAAGGAAAGGGCAATCCTATTTATGCTAAAGGAGTGTAGTTCTCTTTTCCATGACTTTCCATGACTAACCAGGCTTGGTAACTGTAGGTGACGTAAGAGAATCCCATAGAACCATCTCCTAGGTTCCTAGCCAATAGGAAGTGAAAGGAGGTCCAAGGTCAGAGTACCCCTATAGACAGATTATGTCATAACTTAACCAATCTTGTGGGTAACTAAGGAGTGATGACGTGTAATGAATCATAGATGGTTTTAGAAGCTTTTGGAGCTATCGTTCATGTTCCTAGGCCTCTAGTTGATAGAGATATGTCATGTGTAGTATTAGCCCAGTAACTAAGGAGTGATGTCATGTAATGAATCATAGAGGGTTGTAGAGATATGCTATGTGGTCATATCGGCCCAGTAACTAAGGAGCAATGACGTGTAATGAATCATAGAGGGTTGTAGCAATCATTGAGTAGTATTGCTCTTGTTGTTGGTGTGACAAGCCAAAATATGTATAGTGACTTGTAGGTTTGAGGAGGAGATTTCTAAGTTTGCTCTTGAGTTTGATAGCAAACTGAGTGCAACGAATGTCAGTATGACATGAGTGGGCAAAAGTATCCAAAATACAAAGAGGAGTAGACCTTGAAGAGTGGCTCTTAAAATGGGAGACCCTCTACACACAAGGCCATACACTCCGAGCACCAGAAGTCATCGACCCATACGATGCGATATATTACTTCCTTAAAGCAATAGGACCCTGCGAATTTCAAGGTCCATGGACATTCAAACTCAACAAAGGGACAAAGGAATGTGAGTTTGAGGAGGTGGTACGGACCTATCGAATCAACCAGAGACAGGCAAGATATGACCAGAAGTCTCGGGGGGAACATGGAGTTTTCACAACACAAGAAGGCGATAATGAGACATCTGCTACCCTTCAGAACCATATGAACAACCTACAACAAGGACAACAGGGTTGGAGTAACGGGAAGAAGAAGAAGGAGCCCCGAACAGATTGCCCTTGTGTCTCTATCCATAAGTGGAGGGACTGCTTATATGTCATGAAGTCGAAGCATACGAATTCATGGAAGCCAAACCGAGACATTGAAGCTAAAGTTGACACCTACATAAGTGAAAAGCCAGGCTTTCAATACTGCATTCAAAGGGCAATAGACCAGGACAAGGCGAACGGAGGACAACCCCGTACGAACCAGGATCTACTTGTTTCCTTTGCAACAGCCTTCCAAGTCACTCAAGGTCTTACCCTCTCAACCTATGAGCTTGCAAGGAGCACAATCCTTGATTCTGGAGCTACAATTCATGTCTGTAACGACCGTACGAGGTTCTACAACCTAAAGGAATGTGAGGACGAAACTACCTCTTAGCTGGAGACCAGAGAGTAAGGATTGAAGGGTTTGGGTCCATGGACATCAAAGTCCAGGTTGGAAAGGACACAAAGTCCGTACGAACCATAACACTCCAAGAAACAGCCCTTGTTTCCTCATTTCACACCTCTGTTGCATCCTTAAAATGATTCATCCAAAAGGGAGTCCATTGGAATACAGCTACAGAAGGACTCACGTATGAAGGAAAGCTGTTCTGCAACACTCCAGTTATCCATGGACAATGGGTCCTTGAATATATTAAGAATGACAATACAAAAGTCCTTTAAAACACAGCTGTTACGACGGAACAAGAAGGCTGGCCAACTACAGGACAGGAAGGAGGGAGGTCGCATGAGACCGGCCCTGGTACCTGGAGGGGCAGCGGGGAATAGTAGTTCCGAAAGTATCACGTGACGGACTCGCAGGATGATGAGAAGAGTCCTAAGAGTCCAGGACTCCGAGGACTCGAGTGAGTTCCCAGGAGTCCACTAGGCACGTGATGGACTCGCAGGATGATGAGAAGAGTCCTAAGAGTCCAGGACTCCGAGGACTCGAGTGAGTTCCCAAGAGTCCACTAGGCACGACGCCACTATATAAGTAGATAGTATTTCCTTAGATAGGAGCTTCGTGCTCAACTCAATACAGTATTTGTTATATACTAGTAACGTGTTACTTGAAGCCTTTGTGTCTGATCCCCTGCCTCCTCTGATAAGTAAACCTTTACGCAAGAGAACCTCTGTGTCTTCTATCGTTTAGAAGTCAGCGTTACAACAGCCCTATCAACGACTCAAGTGCACCAAGATGCTGTTCTATCCTCGTACGGACCTCGCAAAGACCTAACAGGCACTGCAAAGGAGTGGCATAATGGAATGGGCCACCTTAATCAAAACGCAATAAGGAAGCTCCAAGAGAAGACCCAAGGGGTTATTGTCACAGACATGGATTCGTACGACACTGCACAGTCTGCCACCTTACCCATGCTACAAAAAGGATCTCCCGAAGATCTACACCACAGTCACAGATCCCTTATGAGAAGGTGCACCTAGACCTTATCCAGATGCCAGAGGCGCTACACTTACAGTGTGATTTCTGCTGCATGAACCATGTCTACACCATTAAAGACAAGAGGCAAGGCACAGTCCTATAAACAATTAAGGACTTTGTAAGCTACGTACAGAGACGATGGGGTTATAAGGTAAAGATCTTCTTTCTTGATGGTGAGAAATCACTTGGAGATGAATGGGATGCATTGCAGATGAAGGATACGAAGTGCAGCTTACACCCCCGTACACTGCCGAACCAAATGGTGGAATCGAACGTTCAGGCCGTACGATAATCACATGCTCACGAGCTTTATAAGGAAACAGGCAACCTACCACAAGGAATTTGGCCTGAAATATTTCGGACTGCAGGTTACCTTATAAACCGGTCTCCATCATCTGTCATTAATGATGAGACTCCGTACGGACTTCTACTCCAGTCCCTACCCTCGCAGCTTCAAAAGCCAGAGCTTACTAAGCCCTTACTCTCTCATATCCGCGCCTATGGATGTAGAGCCTATGCACTCCTCCTTAAGCAACCAAGGCTAAAGAGGATAGAGAGGAACACCCAAATAGGCTATCTTATTGGCTACAACTCTACAAACATCTTTAGAATATGGGTTTCAAATCTTAAGAGGGTTATAGTAACCAGGGACGTTACTTTTGATGAGACAAAGGTGTATGATCCATCGTACGAAGCTACAGTTGTAGAATTGGAGCTCCAAAAGACAGTCCAGTTCATTGAACTTCCTGACCTTTTAGAAAAGGAAGGAGAGGAATATGAAGAGGAGCGCGCAGCTCTACAACCTCTACAAGAAATATCAACTCCGTACGAGGTGGAAACAACAGATAAAGCTCTTCAACAAGAGGAAGCAGTAGAGGTAGAACCTCAAAAGGAGATAGAGGTCCAACATGAAGAGCCTCAACTCCAGACACCTGAAATGACACCAGAGCGTTCAGAAGACAGCGTACGGAGACATGACGTCTACCTTGCAACCATTGCACACCCAGAAGCAAGGATAAGCTGCAGTGGTTACAAGACCAGATATATCCCGTACAGTGCAGAAACTATCTGAATACCTTGTTAACCCAGGACCAGACCACATGGCAGCAGTTGATCGACTTATACTCTATCTAAAGGAGACAAAACATCTAGCCCTCCAGTACGGACCAAAGATCAATACACCATGCTTCCAATGCTCTAGTGATGCTTCGTACGCAGATTGCAAAGCTACAAGAAAGAGTATAGAAGGGTATCTCTTCACACTCTTTGGAGGAGCAATTGACTGGCACTGTATGAAGCAGAAAACTGTATCAACCTCAACTACAGAAGCTGAGCTTCTAGCTCTATCACATAGTGCAAAACAGCTCTATTGGTGGCAGCTATTTTTCTCAACTATCAAACTTGATCTTAATGAGAAGTTCACCCTACAATGTGACAATATGCAGACCGTACCGCTCTCACTCAAAGAGTCCCTGAAGCTAGTTACGAAACTCAAGCATATTGATATTCACTCCCACTGGCTAAGACAGGAGGTAGAGAAACGCAATCTCGATATCAAGTGGATAGCTACATATGAGATGCCAGCAGACAGGTTTACAAAAGCCCTACCACGCCAAAGACACGAGGAGTTTATTAACCATTTAAACCTTGTGGACATAAAGCACCTCCTATAGGAGTGCTTACTTAAGAGCACAACTCTGTACGAAGCAGTGGCTACCTTTGTACCTCGGAAACGAGCCCCTATATCACAAGATCTAGATTTCTACTTCACCAACTAAAATTCAAGGCAATACAAGAACAGGAGACTGATGAGCTCCGTACGAACATAGAACTCTCAGAATCACCAAGCCGCCTACAGTTACACCCAGTTTCACTATGCGCTCTTATTTCAACTTTCCCAATGGAATACCTTGGGACCTAACAAACATACACTCTTTTTCGACAGTTTCATAGATCCGTACGAGCTAGATACAACACTATGCATGCGGATTTCAAATTTTTTTCGAAATAAAAAACCCATTTCAACAAAAGGGGGGAAATCAGGGGTAACAAGGGAAATCCCCGACTTTTACCATATAAAAAGAGGAGAATGCCTGACTTTTCATACATCTACACTTACGTACGGAGCTGTCACAAGAATGGCACAAGAATCACCAAGAAATCCATTGCCATTTCTGTCAATCTATACAAGAAAGCCACCGCAAAACAAGAAAAACCCAAGAACCACAAGTCCGTACATCCAAATCCCTACTTAAACTGCATTCCTACTACCATTTCTTTGCGCAGCCTCAAGTGCCAACTTCCGCGCATGGGCCCGAGTCCCAGCACGTTCTCCAGGACGAGGAGTGTCATCCTTCGGAGGAGGGGTGGGCTCCCGATCATCTTGGGAGGAATCTATAAGCGTTAGCTCGTACGGACTCATAAGAACGCTAAAAGGTACATAAGTCAACAGGGAAGGGAAGTACTCATGAAGAGAGCAGGCTGCGGCCTGATGTTTCATGACACAGGAAGCACAGGCACCACCCTGCACATTCCCAAAGGATATGCATACTGTAAAGAAGGGAATCTGCCGAGATCCCTCTTCTCCGCATGCAGCATCACACTGCTCACAACCCATGCTCACCTGGGAGACCCGCGCGACATTCTCTCCCGCTGCCTGGATGTAGAACCCTTCAATTTCTTGCGGGTGTTCAAGGCGAACATTTCCAGTAGTCCCGTACGGGACAGTCATGTACACCCGAGGTGCCAACATAGGCAGAGGACGGGGCAGGGACTCCTGGGCAGCAGGAGGAAGGTAAATGTGGATGTTGGCATCCACAAAGACCTCGCTTAGGTCTTCCACAAAGACCTGTCCAACAGCAGGCATCGTGTCTCGTACGGACTTGCCGATGAGAAGAGAGAAGTATGGTGGGGTGTGGGGAGTCGTAAGATAGGAGATGCAGGGTAGGCAGGGGCAGAAGGCAGAAGGCAGAAGGCAGAAGGCAGAAGGCAGAAGGCAGAAGGCAGAAGGCAGAAGGCAGAAGGCAGAAGGCAGAAGGCAGAAGGCAGAAGGCAGAAGGCAGAAGGCAGAAGGCAGAAGGCAGAAGGCAGAAGGCAGAAGGCAGAAGGCAGAAGGCAGAAGGCAGAAGGCAGAAGGCAGAAGGCAGAAGGCAGAAGGCAGAAGGCAGAAGGCAGAAGGCAGAAGGCAGAAGGCAGAAGGCAGAAGGCAGCCAGGCAGTCCAAGGTATAGATGACCGATATGGAAGAAAGATGGAAGATCTGAACTGAAGTGGCCAACTTGTTTTTCGATCGGAAATGAGTCACGGGGCGTAGATGTGAATCATCGGGCGTACTTGACACCTTTTTTCCCAAGTTTCTCACACTACAATTTGAGGCTCGTATGGGGATACGTGGGGGGGTGTGTTGTAATAGTCACATGATCTCACGTGATCTCTGTATGGATTATTGGTAAAGCCAAGTGTAGGTAACATAGTCAGGAATACATACATTTATTACTCAACAGATATCATGGATATTATGTTATCCCTGTTATCCACGGGGATCCACAGAATATCAGGTGATGGATAACATTGGATATCATGGATATTATGTTATTTATCCATGTTATCCATGGATATCCCTTTGGCACGACGCCACTATATAAGTAGATAGTATTTCCTTAGATAGGAGCTTCGTGCTCAACTCAATATAGTATTTTTTACAATACTGTAACGTGTTACTTGGAAAGCCTTTGTGTCTAATCCCCTGCCTCCTCTGTCAAGTCAACCTTACGCAAGAAACCTCTGTGTCTTCTATCGTTTAGAAGTCAGCGTTACAACAGGCATATCGAGGGACATTGAAACCACCTGAATACCCATAGTAGATGCTTGTACTTTCAATGTATCTTTCCATGCTCGACAGTTCCGGAAGACATAGATATGCTGGCGTAGTTTTATAAGAACCGTTGCCACTTCTTCTTTATTAAGAATGAAGCCTTGAGTATGAGCTATGCCTTGCTTAAGCCTATACAATTCCATTTGTTCTGATGGGACAGCTTTTAACATAGTTAAAGCTGCTTGAACTGCAAGGTTTATAATGTGTGCCATGCATCAGACGTCGCCTTCCTTTACTGTAAAGCTCCATGGTTGCTGTATAGAAACGACACTCGTGCATGCCCCTATTCCAAACTCTGCGAGCATTGCTGTATTGTTCGATGCGTTGTCTCTAGTAATTGTAAAGACTCCATTCATAATACCAGGTAGAAATATCAATTGGTATATTATCTATGGATCTATTTCTACGGATCTATCTATGAGGGCGGGGTAAAATCTTCGTAGCTTGGCATCCTGGGCCGTGCTTGCCAAGGACTCGAATAGTATTTGAGTCTTTGGCAAATACTCGCGGAATACCCTAATTTTAGCCTGAATATGTAATGGTGGGTGCACCAGATGTGAGAATCTAGCCACCCAAGGAAGGGATGATTTTACTAAGACAAATACTGTCTTAGGAAACAGAGCCAAAGGGTTGTAGCTTAGACTATTCCACAATGCAGCAATTAGGTGTATGATGTAGTGAAGTGGTTTAGACAAGTTGTAACAAATGTTGAGTCTGAGAACTCAGGGGTAAGTCAGAGGTTAGCACCTCGCTGACTTTTCAGAAACAAAGAATAACAAGATCAATGCTTGGAAGCTTGGAAATAACGTAGAAGTATGTGCTAGTCGATTTACTGTATTGTCTGCTTGACCTTTCTTAAGGAAAGGGCAATCCTATTTATGCCAAAGGAGTGTAGTTCTCTCATTTTCCATGACTTTCCATGACTAACCAGGCTTGGTAAATGTATTAGAAATCAAGTGCGACCCACAACTAGCTTGCTAATCATGTAGCGAACGTAAGAGAATCCCATAGAACCATCTCTTGTGTTCCTAGCCTATAGGAAGTGAAAAGGAGGTCCAAGGTCAGAGTACCTATAGACAAATTATGTCATAACTTAACCAATCTTGTGAGTAACTAAGGAGCGATGACGTGTAATGAATCATAGATGGTTGTAGAAGCTTCTAGAGCTATCGTTCATGTTCCTAGGCCTCTAGTTGGTGGAGATATGCCATGTGGTAGTATTGGCCCATCCCCTTAAGGAGGATATTTTCTTAATAACTTGTTCAATGAGTGTCCAAATGATATGCCATGATGTATGTAGCATAAACAGATGTAGTAGAAGAGTTTGCAGCAATCGTTGAGTAGTATTGCTCTTGTTGTTGATAAGCCAAGATATGTATGGTGACTTGTAGGTTTGAGGAGGAGATTTCTAAGTTTGCTCTTGAGTTTGATAGCAAACTGAGTGCAACGAATGTCAGTATGACAGAATACTGCTCATCTCCGAATACTATTCGAAAACCACAAATACTAATACTACTTTGGGAAACACTGCTCTCGCCAAGACGATGTCGGATTAGTCGATAACACCGCTAAGTCGATATTTTTTTCAGCACCAATTGATTTTCACACTCAATTCTCGATATTCGCGATATTGACCTTCTGACCTTTAATTATCGACTTATCCAACTTATTATGTCTCGAAAACACATGATTACACTTGAACAGCGCCGTGCCCATCGACATTATGCACACAAACAGCACCCGAAACCCTCCTAGAAAGCCTGCATCAACTGGTTTCTTCACGTTCAATCATAGGCTCAGTCAATCGACAATATCAGATAGCCTTAGTAACTGCTTTAAACATCTCGACAACTCGACAACAACTAGACAACTGAATTGAACTGGCCAATGGCCTCAACTTGAACAAATTCTCTACGACTTTTAGCGATGAATTGATAGCTGCAGTGGCTTTGTGTCAGGATGCTCTCCAAGCCAATCACCTCAGGGCATTAGAGCATTTAGAGGGCGAAATTGAGGCAATTCAGCTTAATTCCTTGGTTTAGGAGACACTAGATAGGTGGATTACATAATACTTGGCATTTCAATATAACGATATTTTCACTTTTACGATATTTACATGTGTCACCAATTGTATCGACTTAACGGGAGTTGACTGTATCGACTTATCGCGTGAGAACTGTAGATGGCATAGTTAGGAGAGTGGGGTAGCAGCTACAGTCGAGTCGCGATAAGTCGATACAATCCGTGCAGCTGAAATATATAGACTTATCAAGAATACCGAGTTATCAAATGCCAAGCTATTACATAATCCATTGATCCAATGTGCCCTGTGCCTGTAGTGATGCCCGCTTCGCTGTCAAAAACCGTTCAAAGTGCTCAAATGAGCATAAATGTGCTGTATCAACCCCATCTTCAGACTCTGCATACCCAATTAGAACTTGGAGAGCTTGCTGAGCGGCCTGCATTGAGTACACTGGCTGTTCAGGTTGCTCCTCCTCTTCATCTTGAGTATCCTCTTGTATATATTGTGCTAGAACCTCTTGTAATATATCATCGTTGCTGCCATTGTATTCCCCCTCTTGTAGTGATTCATCTGCTGGATTTAAGAAGTTTGAGAGGTCCATAGCGTCGCGAATATGCCCAGCATTATTAACTTGACTGTATAGCGTATTAAGTGAAGGGAGCGGCTCTGTAGGCAGTTGTAATGGATGAGCAACAATAGTGCTTTTGCGAAAACAGTTGTAAATAGTTGTGTTTGTGACATCATGATACCAAGCACGGATTATCCAACGAAGTGCAAGGTGAAGAGACATGAAATCTAGAGGGTCATTGTTGTTCTCAAATGACACGAGCATGAATTCAAGCCATTGTCGACGGTAATGGGCTTTAAGAGAGGCAATAATGCCTTGATCAAGTGGTTGGAATCGACTTGTAGAATTTGCAGGTAGCCATATGATTCGGATATTCAAAGGCGGAGGAGCAATTTCAATAGCTGCAGTATGTCCAGGGAAGTTGTCCATTGTAAGGAGCACAGATCTAGAACTCCCTATGTGGAGGTAAAACGCTTGTAGCCACTCGGCCATGATGTATTGATTCATCCATGCCTTCTTATTCCATCTCCACTCTCCTCCCATTGTTGAAATATTAACGTTTCATAAAGCGCGTGGCGCTTTTGCTTTGCCAATAAACCAAGGGCGGAATCGATCTGATCCTGTAGCATTTGTACAGACTACTACAGTAATGCGTGTCTTATCCTTCTTCAATCCAGGCCTTACTTGTGATGAGAGGCCCCTCGATGGTGTCATCCTCCAGTAGAGCCCTGTTTCATCCATGTTGTAGATGTCCTCCTCTTTAAAGTCTCCTGCTAGTGTTTGGATAGCCTTCATCTCGTCTTCTGTAGTTGAACAAACTGAACCTGCTTCGCCGTGTCTAATGTGGCTTTTGATCTGATACCGCTTCTTGAAATTGTCAAGCCACCCAATACTAAAGTTTGGTATAGGCTTCTCCTTGTATTGTGGTAACAACTGCCAGATCTGTTTTGCCTTCTCTTGTAGAATATCCCCAGTTGTTATCCCTCCGCTTTCGTCAATACGCTTCTGCCAGTCGAAGAGAGCAGCCTCAAGCTCTGGCCAAGCAGCAGCTTTTCGCCGTTGGGTAGTGGGAGAGATGCTTGAAGTCGGGCTATCAAGGCTAGCAAATTGAGAGCTCAAGGAATCAGAGACTGTTGACTGGGTAAGGCGGTGATTATATGTTTGTAAGAACCACTCAATACAGGCTTTCTGGGTAGGCCGAGGATTTTGTTGAGACCAGCTTCTGAGCGCGCGACGCTGCTCAGTCTTCATTGTATGCAGTCGAGTTGGAGGCATTATTTCGATCTATAAGTCGATATGAGGAGGATTGAGGTCGATATCGAGCGAATCGCGAATCGTATGAGGAATTAATTCGTGCAGAAGAAAAGTATCGTCGCGATTATCGACTTATCGCGAATCGACTTATCGCGACTCGACTGTACATTAACCCCATAAATTATTAATGCGGGGCAACACCCACAACCAGATGCGATAGGCCCTTGGGGTCTGCAAAACATTCGCACAAAGACTTGTCGTTCACTTCGCTGGAATATCCATTAAGTTCTCTTACGTCCTTGTGCGCTATTGAGTTATGGTATTAACTATCAACCCTAATTCCCCACCCATTTATTATCCCACAAGGCAACTAGAAATCAGAATAAGGGTTGGTTTGAAACAAGGTATCAATATAACTCTGCTCCCTATGTACAGGCCATCTTCCTTAGAATAAATATGCCAGTTCCAGCCCATGCCCGACCTAACCGATACCATGGTCCCCAATCAATCCGTGCAATGCAAAATACCTGATCTCATCCATCCGTCTATATGTTCGTCATATGCGTACTCCAGGGACTCCCGTCCCGCCGCCGCCAGCCTGTCTCGATGCTGAGTTGAGTGGCAAACCCCCCTAGAACTTCCTGTAAATGCAGCACACACAACCTTGGACCACCGGATCCACCCCTGAACACAACACCGTAGGGTAAAATGTTCGCCTGGGTATTGCAACCGAACGCCTGATATGCGTGTTCATGACGTGCTAGAAGTAGCTCAATTTCGAAGTATGTTCGGGTATGCGGTATAGAAGCTGGTGCTCTTGGTGGCACGATAGTAGTCGTTTCCAGCGAAATGGCCGTCTCAAGCTAACCGTGAGCGCTTTCCCCCCCCACCAAACCCATCCTTGGACAAATCTCCAATATCAAAGAAATCACCGAAATTTATCTTTCGCTTCTGGCCAGTGCTTCCGCTGCCATGGCTTCTTGTGTTATTCCTCGTGCTGTGCCTTCCCCTGCCCACTTGCCTCGAACCTGATCGATTTGACCGTGATATCGTGATTGAGGTTGGCGCAGCTGAAATAACGGTACCGTCCGCTGCTGTTTGGTTGCCTTGATCAGACATATCTGCATCTTGTGGATATTGGTGCGTAGATCGGAAAGAAAAATTGCCTGTCGGTGGGAGAACAGTTATTGTGGGTGGCGATGGCAGTTCCTCGACAGGCTCGGGAACTTCTAATATTGGTGGCACTGACTCAAGGCGTACTGGTGAGCTGTTTCGTATCGGCATGCTGGTGACATTTGGCTTCTTCTGTGCGACTGGGCTCGACCCGCGCTCTTTGTCCATTTCGTCGTCGCTGTCAGGAATCGGATCCCGGCCATCGAGTCGTGCTGTAGCCCATTGCCTAACTTTCCAACCTTCGCCGTCAGATAAGCCGATGTCTTCTTTGTCGAGATATGTGAGCAGGTCGTCGAGTGCGTCTTGGTAGCCTTCTGCGCGTAACTTTGTTTGGTCTGAGGCGGCTGTTTTGTAGAGTTTTGTGACAGACAGAGCAGCATCTTTAAACGCCTGTAGAAGTTGTTCTGGAGGGTTTGGGGTCTGCTGCTTCGGCGGCGAAGCACGAGGCAAAGACGTGTTGAGACTCCTCATGGAGTCCATCTTCGGTTGTTGTTCGATCCGGTCCGACGGACGGAGGGGTACGAACGGAGGCTGATGATATGGTAGATTATACCTTGCTCGAGGTATTCTGCAGGAATAAGTTTCTCATTCGCGGTTGACTGCAATACTAGTGAGTAGATAAGTCGATGAAGTCGAGCTTTGAATGCCTTTGTTGTAGTCGAGGGGTACTGGAGTATGACTTGGTTAAGTCCTGTACATGTGACGAAGCGGCAAGACTAGAAGTAAAAGTGGACGTTGAAGTTTCTTCCCGAAATTCTGCCGGACACTCTAAACAAACGGAATAAAATAAAATAAAAACAAAGAGTTAAGGTATAATATGCAGAGATAATTGATATAGTCGGTGATATTAAAGCAAGTTTGTGAATGATTCACATGTATTTCAATCTACTCATTATTGCTCTGTATCACCATTCACGTGACTCTCTGTCACGTTGACGCGGCTGTGGATAAGGCTGTGGGGGGCAGGCGTCTCGCGAGATCGAGGTCGCGACTTTTTGGATGTGTGATGGGTTTTCCTCTTTCTACACCAACTGAAGTCCAACCCATCAACAAAGAGACTCTTTTTCATCAAGTCACAATTGCGAACCACCCTTTACCATCTCGAGAGGATTCGGAGACCACAACGAACCCATCCCGCTTCTCCTACCCTGCCACCTGGGACTGAGGTTGCGCGAGCATGGCGCCTTCACGATCCGGTCGCCTCAGCGGAGCGGATACAGATAGCTCAATGGCTGATGCATCCGATCTGAACATCAAATTGCGTGTGGACGCAATGGTAAGCTCTATTTTATCTACCAATCCCCTGACGCCATATAGCGCGTTCTACCCATTGTTCAATTCAAACAGAGGACCATGACTTACACAAGCTAATGCAGGATATCGACGAGACACCAGATTACACGGAAGACTCCGATACCAACCCAAATACGACTGCGAGCAGCGTGGCCGGTGAACCGGTTGATGGGAGGAGGAGACGTTCCGAGGCGACACAGTTGCGACGGAGCGTGTTCGGAAAGAAACACGATCGTTTAGGTCAATCCCAGGTAAGTAATACGCATATGACATGATATTTCGGAGATTGTACTTATATCCTATTGCAGGAAGATGATTCGATTAGACGATTCCGCTACTTATTGGGCTTGACGGACCTCTTTCGGCATTTCATTGAGACAAACCCAAACCCGCATATTAAACAGATTATGGTGGAGATTGATCGTCAAAATGAGGAGGCTGCAGAAGCAAAGGCAAAGAAGGCTAGCCGTGCTGGAGGAGCTGCCAACGAAAGGCGTCGGAGAACAGAAGCCGAGGAGGACGCAGAACTGCTCAAGGATGAAAAGCAGGGAGGATCGGCAGATACCGTGTTCAGAGAATCACCCGGCTTTGTTAAGGGTGGCACTATGAGGGACTATCAGGTTGCTGGCCTGAACTGGCTCATCTCACTTCACGAGAATGGTATATCGGGCATCCTAGCTGATGAGATGGGACTTGGCAAGACACTTCAGACAATAGCATTCCTAGGATACTTACGACACATTATGGATATTACCGGGCCGCATCTGGTCATCGTGCCGAAATCAACACTCGACAACTGGAAGAGAGAGTTTGCGAAGTGGACCCCCGAAGTCAATGTGCTAGTCCTGCAGGGAGCTAAAGATGAGCGAAATCTCCTCATCAACGAGAGGCTTGTGGATGAGAAGTTCGACGTCTGCATTACCAGCTATGAAATGATATTGAGAGAAAAGTCACACTTGAAGAAATTTGCCTGGGAATATATCATTATCGATGAGGCTCACCGTATCAAGAACGAGGAGTCATCTTTAGCACAAGTCATTCGACTTTTCAACTCGAGGAACCGCCTGCTCATCACGGGCACACCTCTCCAGAACAACCTCCACGAGCTTTGGGCTCTCCTGAACTTCCTGCTCCCCGACGTCTTTGGCGATTCTGAGGCTTTCGACCAATGGTTTTCTGGCCAGGGGGCCGACCAAGATACTGTTGTCCAGCAACTCCATCGTGTTCTTCGTCCGTTCTTATTGAGACGTGTGAAGAGCGATGTGGAGAAGAGCCTGTTGCCAAAGAAGGAGGTTAATTTGTATATTGGAATGTCTGATATGCAGGTTAAGTGGTACAAGAAGATCCTGGAAAAGGACATCGATGCTGTCAACGGTGCCGGGGGAAAGCGCGAATCAAAGACACGACTGTTGAATATTGTGATGCAGTTGCGAAAGTGCTGTAACCACCCATATCTATTTGAGGGTGCTGAGCCAGGGCCTCCATACACAACCGACGAGCATCTCGTTGTAAATGCTGGAAAGATGGTCATGTTGGACAGGCTCCTAGGGCGGCTACAGAAGCAAGGCAGCAGAGTCCTCATCTTTTCCCAGATGAGTCGACTTCTCGATATCTTGGAGGATTATTGCGTCTTCAGAGAGTTCAAATACTGCCGTATCGATGGATCAACTGCCCACGAGGATCGTATCGCCGCCATTGACGACTACAACAAGCCTGGCTCTAAGAAGTTTGTCTTCCTTCTGACAACCAGAGCTGGTGGTCTTGGAATCAACCTTACCAGCGCTGATATTGTTGTGCTTTACGACAGCGATTGGAACCCTCAAGCAGATTTACAAGCCATGGACAGAGCACATCGTATTGGCCAAACCAAACAAGTCGTCGTTTACCGTTTCGTCACTGAGAACGCTATCGAAGAGAAGGTCCTTGAGCGAGCAGCACAGAAGCTTCGTCTTGATCAACTTGTCATCCAACAGGGCCGCGCGCAAATTGCCGCGAAGGCCGCCGCTAATAAGGACGAACTGCTCAATATGATCCAACACGGTGCCGAGAAGGTCTTCAATACCAAGGGTGCAACCGGAATTCTGGCGCAAAAAGGTGCAGAGATCGGCGATGATGATATTGATGAGATTCTCAAGCACGGCGAGAAGCGAACGGCCGAGTTAAATGCTCGGTATGAGAAATTGGGTATTGATGATCTCCAGAAGTTCACATCGGAGTCTGCTTATGAGTGGAACGGCCAGGACTTCACAAACAAGAAGAAGGAGATTGGTATTTCCTGGATCAATCCCGCCAAGCGTGAGCGTAAGGAGCAGTCTTACTCCATGGACCAGTACTACAAACAGGCCCTTTCTACTGGCGGGCGAACCGCAGATGCAAAGCCTAAAGCCCCACGAGCACCTAAGCAAATTGTCATTCACGACTACCAATTCTTCCCCCCCATGCTTCAAGACTTGCAGGATCGCGAGACTGCGTATTTCCGGAAGGAAATTGGATACAAGGTGCCACTGCCTGATGGATCAGAGGAAGATTTGTCGGATAGAGAAGGCGAGCGAGCTTTGGATCAGCAAGAAATAGACAACGCTACGCCTTTGACGGAAGAAGAGCAGGCCGAGAAGCTGCGCTTGTCAGAGCAAGGCTTCGGTGATTGGAACAAGCGAGACTTCCAGCAGTTCATTAACGGCTCGGCAAAGTATGGCCGCAAGAACTACGATGCTATTGCCGAAGAGGTCGACAACAAGACTACTGCAGAAGTTAAGACATACGCCCAGATCTTCTGGAAGCGCTACACTGACCTCAATGACTACTCGAAATACATCAACCTCGTTGAAGCTGGTGAAGAGAAGACAAAGAAGATCGAACATCAACGCCAGATGCTGAAGAGGAAGATGTCTCAATACAGAGTTCCCCTGCAACAGCTGAAGGTGAACTACTCAGTGTCGACAACAAACAAAAAGGTGTACACAGAAGAAGAAGACAGATTCCTTCTCGTCCTCTTGGATCGATTCGGGATCGATAGTGAGAACATTCACGAGCGTATCCGCGATGAGATCCGCGAGAGTCCCCTCTTCCGCTTTGACTGGTTTTTCCTAAGCCGAACACCGCTCGAAATTAGCAGGAGGTGCACCACTCTGCTCACTACTGTGGCTCGCGAGTACGAGGAGACGCAGCCAAAAGCGAACGGTGCCAATGGCAAGACCAAGCGTGAGCCAGAGGAGGAAGATAACGATGAAGAGAGCGTTCATGATACCGCACCCGCGAAAAAGAAGTCCAAGAATGTCAAGGTAGGTCGACAGCATACTGGTCTGTAGTGTCCACAAGCTAACTTTATGCAGAATAAGGCAATCGATAGCTTAAAGCCTGGGAGTAAGGCTACGTCGGCTGCGCCATCGTCCCGAGCCTCGAGTGTAGGATCTCCCGCTCCAGCACCATCAAAGAGCAAGGCGAAGGGAAAGAAGAAATAGGCTTCAGTTGGATAGGAGTGATTTGAGTCTCTTTGAACCCCAGCATTGGGCTGGGATGGGTTTACACAAGACTACAAGGGGCAAGGCGTAAAGGCGGGGACTTTGTACAGCGTATTAGACATGAGGGATTGTGGAATGGGGGATGATCTTCACAGTTAGCTGTACTCTACTATCCAGAAGTAATCCAATGAGATAAAATGTCAAATTGTGTGTAGTATCTGCATTTTCTAGTCTGTTATGATTTTTAGAACTATATATCTTCCCCCTGGGTAACGGGGCTTCACCTTCTAGGGCCAAGGATTGGGGTGAAGGCAAATATATTGGGGAAGCTGGGATATTGCGACTACCTCGCCCTTTCAAGCCATTAATTACTCAAAATACAACCAGATTCGGGTTCATATGATCTCAGCAGACAGGGTTTCGTCTGCTATAATTTAGGGCCAAATTGCCCTTACGTCTCCTTCATAGATTGGTTCGTCATCATCGAATATTTTCAATGCTTAGGACAGTCTCCAACATCATCTCAAACAACTCTCTGTTGGCCAACTTCGCCGCTGGCACTCTACTGGCGGCACCCAGCCATCGGATGCTATATTAAGCAAGCCTGTTACGTGGTTTCATGTGCTGCCTCAAAGTATTTGTATTCCTTTTAGTGGACAGCTACCTCATCGGGCGTAGGGACCGTCACTTGTCATGTACCCACTCTCCTCGATGGCTAACAGTCGGTCCTCCTCCTCCTTCTCCTTACGTTTCTTCTGTGTAACGTCCGGGTCAATGATTTCTGTACGTAAGCCAATTGGTGGCTCCGTGTCTGGGTTACTTTTTTGAAATTCATGTAGGTCCTTTTTCCGTGTACGTTCTGCCTTCCGTGCATCGATGCCAGCACGGAGCTGCATCTTACGCTCAACGTTCACCATGCGTCTTCTCTCTCTTTTCTCCCGTGCTTCTTCTAAAAGTTGCTCCTTTACCTTCTTCTCATAAATCCTTTGCCGTGCATGTTCAACTGTAATAGCACCACATTTTGAATAGATTTCCGACTTCTAACCTTCCCCTGTCGTTGCTCGGTTAAGAAAGGGCAAGTAGACAATACAGTAAATCGACTATCACATACTTCCACGTCTTTTCCAAGCTTCCAAGCATTGATCTTGTTACTCCTTGTTTCTGAAAAGTCAGTGAGGTGCTAACCTCTGACTTATCCCTGAGTTCTCAGACTCAACATTTGTTACAACTTGTCTAAAACCACTCCACTACATCATACACCTGATTGCTGCGTTGTGGAATAGTCTAAGCTACGACCCTTTGGCTCTTTTTCCTAAGACAGTGTGTTGTCTTAGTAAAATCATCCCTTCCTTGGGTGGCTAGATTCTCACATCTGGTGCACCCATCATTACAAGTGAGGAGGAGCAATTTAACAGTAATATGGATGAATTAGGGTAGACACCTATCTGCCTAGTTTGATATGTACTATAAGGAGAACAACATTATTACGCTCTGTCTCCCTACACACTCCTTACATCTTACCTAGTCTCTTGATGTTAGGTGTTTTAGTGTACTAAAGTGAATGTATAGTCGAGAACTTAAGGTCTTCATTAAGGCCTCTATTACCTATATCACTAAGATTGAGTTCTTTATTACATTTAAGGCTGCCTACAACTATATAATGACAACTGAAAATATTCTAGCTAGCTTTCGAGGTACTGGCCTAGTCCCATATAACGTAGAAGTAGTTCTCTTAAAGCTTGATATCAAGTTATAGATGCTAACACCAACTAGATCCCCCCTACTAGAGGTGTAAGGGTTTAGGTAGACAGCGTGCTAAGACCGTAGGTTCGAGTAGCCAGTATCGTATTCAACAAACTAATCTCTGAGCCCTTCCTAGTAGGGGGCTCAGCTACTTTATCTACTCCCCCGGAGTCGGGCCCCCGCCGTCTCGGTTGCGAGTCGGAGCCACGACAACAGCCTAATAGCAGCCTAAGGCCCTAAGGCCCTCCTAGCAGCCTTAGGCCGCTAGAGGCACTGTAGCGGGACGTCTCCGATGCGGGACCGCAACCAGCTCCCCCTTCCTACTGACCTCCTCTTAACCTACCTGTGACAACACTCCCCCCTCTAGAGTCCGGGGCCCTACGGACATGCCATTGCTTCAGTGGCAGCCCTTGGTGGAACAGCATTGGTCATTAGCGGCCCGCCGTCGGTTCGGGGGCGGCTCGTTAATAGGCGTTGCGCCTCTGGTACGTGAAGCCGAACTTAGTGTCACGTGACCTAGCTACTCCGTCCCTCCGTTTCCTTTATTCCAAGGCCTGCTTTAAGGCCGGAATTGGGCGCGCCTTTGACGCTACGGCGCTAGGCCGGAACCGGCCTACCTACCTTTGTTCCAAGGCGCGCGGTAGGCGCGTGTTGTCCCCGTGCACGTGACCTACCCTCCACACAAAGGAGTAAGCGGCCTCAAAACACCTTCCTCCCCCTCCTTCCTCAACCTTCCAATTCATCTAACTCCGCCGCTGCCCCCGCCACCACCACCATGTTCGGCTCTCAAGAGAGCACCGAAACCGTCGGCGCCCTTAAGGCGCAAGAGAACCGTTCCGTCGCCGGCCACACGGCCACCATGAGTGAGTGCCCCTTTTTCGTTTCCTCGTTTGGGCGTTTCCTAACGTTCTGGAGCTCCATCTGGCTGGGTGGCGTTCGGGTTGCCTCCCCGCCCCGTCCCGGCCCCCCGTTTCTCCTTCCGCGCCCCCGTGCGCTCTGGTGAGTCCTTTCCTTCCGTCTTTTGGTTTCTCGCCGTGTTTCCTAGGCTTCTTTGTGGTAGGTGATGGGTTCTTGGGCCGTGGCTAACATGTTTGGCAGAATCTGGCGGTTTCCAGTCCGTCCCTGGTCCGACCCCCGCCGTAACTCCCGCCTCCTCCGCCACTACGCCTGCCGCTCCTGTCTCGCCCGTCGTTTCCCTGACGTCTCCGGTCGAGGAGACCTCCGAGGAGGAAGATGTTGCCCCGCGCCGCTCCTCCCGCAAGAGGAAGCACGCCAAGTCCCCTGAGGAGGGCTCGGTGGCCGGTGGGACTTCATCCTCGGACGAGGGCGGGGACCCCCACAGCGCGCTGCTTCGCGTGTGCTGCCTGCGCTGCGCGAAGTATTTGGCGAAGTCGCCAGAGTTCTCGTGTGTCTTCCCCGCCTCCTCGACAAAGTGCATGCGCTGCACTCGTCTTAAGGACAAGTGCGTCCCAGTGAGTATCCGGTCCGGTTCTTGTCTTGGTCTTCTGTTTTGGTTTCCCTTTTGGGTCCTTTTTCTGCAGAGCGTTAGCTAACGCTCGTTTGGGCAGATCCCTGTTACGACGGAACAAGAAGGCTGGCCAACTACAGGACAGGAAGGAGGGAGGTCGCATGAGACCGGCCCTGGTACCTGGAGAGGCAGCGGGGAATAGTAGTTCCGAAAGTATCACGTGACGGACTCGCAGGATGATGAGAAGAGTCCTAAGAGTCCAGGACTCCGAGGACTCGAGTGAGTTCCCAGGAGTCCACTAGGCACGTGACGGACTCGCAGGATGATGAGAAGAGTCCTAAGAGTCCAGGACTCCGAGGACTCGAGTGAGTTCCCAAGAGTCCACTAGGCACGTGATGGACTCGCAGGATGATGAGAAGAGTCCTAAGAGTCCAGGACTCCGAGGACTCAAGTGAGTTCCCAAGAGTCCACTAGGCACGACGCCACTATATAAGTAGATAGTATTTCCTTAGATAGGAGCTTCGTGCTCAACTCAATACAGTATTTGTTATATACTAGTAACGTGTTACTTGAAGCCTTTGTGTCTGATCCCCTGCCTCCTCTGATAAGTAAACCTTTACGCAAGAGAACCTCTGTGTCTTCTATCATTTAGAAGTCAGCGTTACACTTTGAGCACCACTTCTACGAGGTACCGGCTTACACACAAAGCAACATGTCTGTCGTCAGTTCGAAGGGGAAAACCCCCACCACGCCAACTTCGTCTCAGAGGTCTAAGCCTGAGAATGAAGAGATGCCCGATGCACCCACCGTCAACGAACTCAAGGAAACTCTACGCGTCAAGTTGCCCGACACTTACTCCGGCAACCGAAAGGAACTTGAGGTGTTTTTGCTACAGGTCGAACTGTACCAGCACTTCAATGATGAGAAGTTTCCCACCCAGGAGAGCTATGCCCTGTGGACTGCGTCCTACCTTAGGGGGGAAGCCCTGCGATGGATCGAACCATTCCTCAAGGACTATTTCAAATATGAAAGTACCAATGGAAGCATGACAACTACGCAGACTATGTTTGGCAGCTGGAATGGATTCTGTAAGGAAATCCGACGCATGTTCGGAGACATCGATGAGATTAAGACCGCAGAAGACCATCTGTTTGCACTTAAGCAGACTGGCAGCGCCCTCACATACTCCACAGAATTCCAGAGATACGGCAATCAGACAGGATGGGACGCCAGCGCACTCATCAGCCACTACCGACGTGGTCTGAAGAGCCATATACGTATGGAACTTGCCCGTTTGGAACAACAACCAACGGACATGGTAGCGCTAATCGAACATACGGTCCGAATCGACAATCGACTATACGAATTCCAGAAGGAACGTCGGACCTATGACAAGCCCAAGAAAAGTTACCCCTACCGGGGAAACGAGGGCAGACGACGGGATCAACACCCGCGAGACAACCGTTGGTCGGACCCAATGGAACTCGATGCCACGTTCAAACCTGGACGACCCCGTGACCCTAAGAAAGACAGACAATTCAAGGAACGACTCTGTTTTAACTGCGACAAGCCAGGTGTAATGGTGGGTGCACCAGATGTGAGAATCTAGCCACCCAAGGAAGGGATGAATTTACTAAGACAACACACTGTCTTAGAAAACAGAGCCAAAGGGTCGTAGCTTAGACTATTCCACAACGCAGCAACCAGGTGTGTGATGTAGTGAAGTGGTTCAGACAAGTTGCAACAAATGTTGAGTCTGGGAACTCAGGGGTAAGTCAGAGGTTAACACCTCACTGACTTTTCAGAAACAAGGAGTAACAAGATCAATGCTTGGAAGCTTGGAAAAGACGTGGAAGTATGTGATAGTCGATTTACTGTATTGTCTGCTTTGTGGAATAGTCTAAGCTACGACCCTTTGGCTCTGTTTTCTAAGACAGTGTGTTGTCTTAGTAAATTCATCCCTTCCTTGGGTGGCTAGATTCTCACATCTGGTGCACCCACCATTACACCTTGTCTGCTTGCCCTTTCTTAAGGAAAGGGCAATCCTATTTATGCTAAAGGAGTGTAGTTCTCTCATTTTCCAAGACTTTCCATGACTTACCAGGCTTGGTAACTGTAGTCGACGTAAGAGAATCCCATAGAACCATCTCTTAGGTTCGTAGCCTATAGGAAGTAAAAGGAGGTCCAAGGTCAGAGTACCCCTATAGACAAATTATGTCATAGACAAATTATGTCATAGACAAATTATGTCATAACTTAACCAATCTTGTGGGTAACTAAAGAGCGATGACATGTAATGAATCATAGAGGTTCGTAGGAGCTTTTAGAGCTATCGTTCATGCTCCTAGGCCTCTAGTTGGTAGAGATATGTCATGTGGTAGTATGAGTGATGTCATGTAATGAATCATAGAGGGTTGTAGAGATATGCTATGTGGTAATATCGGCCCAGTAACTAAGGAGCGATGACGTGTAATGAATCATAGATGGTTGTAGCAATCGTTGAGTAGTATTGCTCTTGTTGTTGGTGTGATAAGCCAAAATATGTATAGTGACTTGTAGGTTTGAGGAGGAGATTTCCAAGTTTGCTCTTGAGTTTGATAGCAAACTGAGTGCAACGAATGTCAGTATGACACCAGGCCACATGGCCCGAGACTGCAGACAGCCAAAGAAAGGGAACGGCGGACGCAAAGTTGGCAAACAACTCAATGCCACCTGGACAGGACAGTTGAACGCAACGTTTGTGAGCAAACAGGACTGGGGAATAAACGGCGAAAGCACCCCAGAAGACGAGAGCTCAGATGAAGGGTCGGAGGCGGAATCGTTCACCGTCTCGGAACAGGAGACCTTCGATGAACTCGCACCTACGGAACCAAGGAGTCCACGGTGCAAGAGCGTAGTAAGACGCATGGCAAAACACGCCCACGAGAAGATTAGGGCCGAACGAGACAAGCCCAGCGGCCAGAGGAGAATCCCCACGCTTAAGGGCATCTACGGGAACCTGTTACAGGGACTTCCGTTAGAGTGCAAGGTGGACGACTGCAAGGATGACCTCTGGAGATACTACGACCAACTAACGAATACCCGCAGGCTGCTTGGCACGTCCCCAGACGTAGCTAAGTTGGAAGCCCAAGAAGCGGAAGACCTGGAGAAGGATGTCGAGCATATGGCTAAACTGAAGAATATGAAAAGCGTCGAACTTTACTACCAGGACCGCAGGAGAGCCCTGGAGAAGTACGACGAGAAAGCCAGAGGTATGCTGCGATGGGAAAATGCGAGACCCACTCCACGCATCGAAAGGAGAGCCATGGAGCAACTAGACACGTTCTCCACGCCTCCGAGGGAAGATAGTGCATGGGTGAAAGGACAGCGGGAACTATCAACGACAGACGCAACAGAGACTGATCATCCCTGGCACGCGTATGTCTACTGGGAGTATTGCAGCGAAGATGACTGCAAGCTCCACTGGAAAAAGAAACACCAGAATCAGTTGTTTCCCCGATCCTCGCCCAGGATACACTTCAGAGATGCAGAGCAAGTTCACGCCCTCAGGCGAAGCCAGTCTGAAGGGGACTTGCCTATCAAAAGCGAACAGGTATACGAGAAATACCCACATCTGCTAGACGAAGCAGAAGAGCGAGGGAAACGATCTCCCCAAGGACCACCATTGGAAGCGGATGAATACTATCCTTCCTCGGACGAGTCAAAAAACTAGGAGTCCTCGACGGTAGGCCACCGGCGAGCGACATGAAAAGGCCTAGTACAGACCAGCTATGCGCCACGACGGGCAGCATGCAACTATATGTGGTCGCTAAGATACAACAGCGACACCTCCGAGCAATGATTGACTCAGGAGCGACGGGCAACTTTATGACAAAGAAAGTAGCAGACACGCAAGGCTTCAAAACAACAATGAAAGCCGAACCATACCCGTTAATGGTCGTAGATGGAGAGCCCATCTCGACTAATGAAGGAATGGTGACCCACGAAATGGTCCCATTAGAAATGGTCATGCTACATGGGCACAAGGAAACGATTCAGTTTGACATCGTGCACATGGACAACCATGCATGCATCCTTGGTATGCCATGGCTCAAGAAACACAACCCCCAGATCGACTGGTGGAACGAGAAAGTTGTGATGAGCCAGTGCGCGTGTGAACAACAGACGGACACGCGACAACGGGAGAAACCCTCCCAGGGCCGGAAGGAGTTATGTGCAACCTCCGAGCTCGATGACCTAGCCCAGGCATCCTCACCGACGAGTATACCGGTGGAGTACAAGGAATACGAGCAATTATTCCAGGAAGGCCCTAAGAACGAGGCGCTTCCTAAGCACCAACCATGGGATCACGAGATACCTTTGGAGAAAGACAAGAGTCCACCATTCGGACCAATATATCAGCTATCGGAAAAGGAGCTGAAGGTACTTAAGGAGTACATCGATGATAACCTAGCGAAAGGATTCATCAGACCATCCACATCACCAGCAGGAAGTCCGGTGCTTTTCGTACCAAAGAAAGACGGCTCCCTACGGTTATGTGTGGACTATCGAGCGTTGAACAACATCACAATCAAGGACAGGTATGCCCTGCCGTTAATCAACGAACTACACGATAGATTTCAAGGAGCAAAGATCTTCAGTAAGCTAGATCTGCGAGGAGCATACAACCTGATCCGAATCAAGGCTGGGGAAGAGTGGAAAACAGCATTCCGCACCCGCTATGGCCTATTCGAGTATCAAGTCATGTCCTTTGGGCTAACAAATGCACCCGCATCCATGCAATGACTGATGAATGATGCTTTGCCCGAATACTTAGACATCTTTACCATTGTCTACCTAGACGACGTCCTGGTGTATTCAGCAACCAAGGAGGAGCATGTCAAGCATGTCAAACTCGTCCTGAAGAAACTAAAGGAGTACAGCTTACTCCTCAAACCAGAGAAGTGCGAGTTCCATAAAAACCAAGTCGAATTCTTGGGTTACATTATCGGAACGCACGGCATCAAGATGGACCAAGCAAAAGTAACGGCAGTGTTGGAATGGCCAACACCGACCACGGTCAAGGAAGTGCAAGCCTTCCTAGGCTTCACCAACTTCTACCGAAGATTCATCTCGGGATATTCCAAGGTAGCTCAACCACTCACGGAGCTTACCAGAAAGGATCTCGAATTCAAATGGACGGACAAGGCAGAGGCTGCTTTCCAGGAACTTAAGACGAAGTTCACGGAAGCACCTATCCTTGCTACATTTGACCCTGCAAAGAAGATCATCCTCGAAACGGACTCTTCTGACTTCGCAATTGGAGCATGTCTGAATCAACCAGACGAGGACGGTAAGTTCAAACCAATCGCGTACTACTCTAGGAAACTGTCACCCGCGGAACTCAATTACGACATCCACGACAAGGAGCTACTGGCTATTGTCGTTGCCTTTGAGCAGTGGCGAGTATATCTTGAGGGACCCACCTACCCTGTGCAGGTATGGACGGATCACAAGAACCTCATATACTTCACCACGACCAAGGTTTTAAACCGCAGACAAGTCCGCTGGGCAGAAACCCTCGCAGCCTACAACTTCACGATAACCTATCGCAAGACGCTCTCAGCAGACGGACCGACTACGCCGGCCCAAAGGAAGAAAGACCTAGAGCAATTCTGAAGAAAACAGATGCAGGACTACAGTACAACGAGTTACTAGCGACGATCTCAGTCATCGAAGATACAGAACTCGAGGAAAGACTCAAGAAAGCTTACGCAACAGATGAATGCGCCAAGCGAGTCTTGTCTAAAGTCGAAGGCGACTTCGCCATCGACGAACAAGGATTGATTCAATACAAAGGGTTAGTGTATGTCCCAAGTCAAATGAGACGCCCGCTGGTGCAAGAACAACACTCGTTACCAGCACACGGTCATCAGGGAGTAACACGAACCTTCGAACGAATCACCCGACACTACTACTTCCCAGGTATGAGGAAGCAGGTAGAGACAGTGGTAAGAGAGTGCGACATTTGCAGCAAGTCAAAATCCAATAGGCATCTGCCATACGGACAACTCAAGTCGACACCAGTACCAAAAGGAGCGTGGAAATCAATAGCTTTGGACTTCATCGTCAAGCTTCCACCCTCCAAGGACCCGTTAACAGGAATAGAATACGACTCTATCCTCGTCATCACGGAAAGACTCACGAAATATGGGAAGTTTATACCATATCTAGAAGCTAGCGACGCCGAGGCGCTCGCATATACCTTCATTCGAGTCATATTAGCCGATCATGGGATGCCAGAAGAAATCATCTCAGATAGAGACAAGCTCTTTACTTCGAAATTCTGGAAATCATTGATGGCGCTACTGGGAACAAATCATAAGCTATCAACAGCTTTTCATCCCCAGACAGACGGCCAAACAGAAAGATTAAATCAGACCCTTGAACAGTACCTGTGAAGCTATGTCAATCATCAACAGGACAACTGGGTTCAGATCTTACCCATCGCACAGTTTGCATATAACAGCGCGATGACAGAAGCAACGAAAGTCTCACCGTTCTTTGCCAATTACGGCTACCAGCCAGAAGCATATAGGCAACCAAGACCGGATGAATCACGAGCTGAACAAGCCCTGATCGTGGTGGAACAACTGAAATCATTCCACGAACAACTTGCGACGGACATCCAATTCTTAAATGAACGATCCGCCGCATACGCAAACAAGAAGCGCAGTATGGAACCTGCCTTCAAGGAGGGGGATAAAGTATACCTACTCCGGAAACATATCAAAACGAAACGACCAAGCACAAAGTTGGACTTCAAGAAATTGGGACCATTCAAAATATTGAACAAAGTCAGCTCAGTTAATTACAGACTGCAGCTACCCAGGAAGTCTAGACTACACCCGGTATTTCATGTCTCACTACTGGAACCAGCAAGAGGAAATACCCCAATTGCGACCGACACCGAACTCCAACCCGAGAAGGTGACTCTAATATTGTAACATTGATTGCGGTAATAATAAGCAACGAGTCCACTGCTTTGTCACAGCTGTTGCTGGAAGCCGAACTGTAGTATGGCATGGTCCGAGGCGCCTACCGCGGTAATATGCCCTCTACTCCCTTCAGCTACCTGCGCCCCGATTACTGATGCTATGCTCGAGACGGGGTTGGTTTGACCTGGCATGGATATCCTGTCGGCATCCAAGCCAGCTGGGCCTGTATGTCCAGCATATGTACATTGGAATACCACACTCCTTTCGCGGGGTCTGATATGTTGAATTGCATGTTCGCGTGACATATGCGACTACGATATTCTGGCAAAGGACCTGGGTACTTTGCAAATAGTTCCAATTGGCTGTTTGTTGTCGCCTAATCACTCCAAGGCATCCATCACATAGACCGACAACCGGAAACCTCGACCGCGTCGCTCTCAAATGGCAAGCTACTGTTCGAACTCTAACACAACATGGTCAACCACTATCCTAACAACCTTTATAATCCATATACATGTGTTATATGCCGGGGGGAAGTAATAGTTGGGCGTTATGGGTCTCAAACTATTACAAAAGGCAAAGCGGCTATTAACGACGATCCACGAGCCAGTCCTCACGCCAGAAAATCACATCAGTTACTCTGGTATCATGAGAACTGTTATTATAATCTAGCTAGTACCTACACCGCTGCAGAGGTCCCAGATAAGAGGAAAATCAGGGAATTTTACGAGGCAACTAACTCTGCATATCCGGCCCCTAGGTATAAAAAAGGAATCCGCGAATCCATGAGGGAGGGGCTTCTTTTTGGTAAGCACACGAAAGTTGTACTGAAGGGCTGCTTCAGCCAAGCTTTGTTGAGGAGGCTACCTGAGGAAGTCTTACGTATGATCTTGCGTTATCTGGGGGAATGCCGGTGGTTGATAGTGCTCGGCGAAACTCGTCGACTGTTTGACCTGTGGGAGCGTGGCTGTGAGGACAGGTGTGAACGAGTCACTACGTCGAAGCCTGTCTTCTTGACAAGAATAGAATTCCGAGGTGTTTCTTATATTTCGAAAATCAGCAATGTGCCATTTGGAAAACCCTCGGATGAAGGTTTCCCTGGGGAATTGCTTGGTTTGCCGCCCAACACGCGGAGACTTATTGTGTCCAAAGACCACATGGGAATCCGCAATATACGACCTATTGTGGACGGTTTAGAGCTATCGGCAGATGGATCTGCATGGTATGAAGTATTTGGCGAACCTAATGCATCATTGGACGCCGAAATCGAGGTCTTATATAATGTGAGATTCCTCTCTGCTAGGTCTCTGGGAAATCTCTCCTAAAGTTAACCTAGGGGTTCTTTCTTCGTAGAGTCCGGTCAACTACAACTGATCGGAGTCCTGAAATGGGGCCGTGGTCCATTCCATGTCCGCCTTTGGTCTCGCCGTATAATATGGATTGCATTGAAAGCTTAAAGCGGGGGCATAATTGGCTTCACTATACACAGCTCGATGCCGGCGTCAAAGGTCTTACCGTTTGCCGCTTTAATGATCATAATATTGGATTCCATCCCTTCACTGGTTTATCAGTGGATTACAGGCGTTTCATCTCCCATGTGAAGCAACAGTACTCGGACTCTTTTCTCACTTGGATGTACTTTCCCATCAATCCCGGCGAATCTATAACCGACGTATGGACCCGCAAATATGGGACTGTTGATGGATATTGGCCATCCTGTGGCCCGTCGATTGTTGTAGGTGTTCCTCTTCAAACGCACTAATCAAGACTAACTTTGCTATTATAGCTCGAAACATCTCTACGCAGAACGGTAACTTTCGGGGCATATATACCTTCTAAAGATATACATCGTCAGCCTATTTCTCAAATGAGGCCCCATCAGTCTCGTTCTCTTCTTAGAAGTAGCGACGGTGCTATCTCGGGGATATTCCACAACGGTTTCGATCCGATATCACCATACATCACGGAGTTTGGAGTTATATGCGACTCTCACCGCGCGAGGAAGCCAACCAACCAAATACCAAGCTCCGAACTGTATTTGTATCCGACCCCTCCGTTTCCTCGTGAATTATTTACCTATGGTTATCATCATGATGAATGGTACTTGACAAAGGCTCCAGTGGAAGGCCTCACCGGGGTACAATTTTGTCAAGACAAGGAACAGCGAAACCATCCGCGTATTGGACTCATCCTACACTACAGCGACGGGCATATAGAATCTCTGGGGCAATTCCGCTGGGACTTAACAGTTTCCGATATAATCGCCGCCCCTATTAGGATCGAGATATGCCGTGATGAAGATGAGCGTTATTATAACCACCCTTATATCGGGGCCGTCGAAACAATACCGCCATTCAATGCTAGGGGAGAAGAAAGAAAGTGGCAAGATATTCCGAATCATGGGGTCCTCGTTTGGTGGAACAATCCTAGGATAGGTGAAGAGATCGCGCTTTATGAGTCTTGATTTCAATAGGTATTGTGAGGGCGAAGGGGCGAACCTGGGGTTTGACTTTACGGTGCACACGCGACAGACGTTTCCAAATTATCGTAGGTAGGTTATTGTCAATATGATTATTCAACGGGTATAAGATGCTGTTCAATCCCACGTGTCCATGCGCCAGGCCGCTCTCTACGGTGTCTCCCCACTCTCTTTGCCCTTCCCTTTCTTCTCCGCCACTGCCGGTTTACCACCCGCAGTTTCCACTGCTCGTTTAGCTGGGCCCTTATCAACTCCTGGCATTTGCGCCTCCTTTATCACATCCCGCGGTGCACTTGTATCCAAACCCGTCCACGCCGGATCCCAGCCCTGTTCCTCGTCTACCGCGCCTTTCGCCATTCCTTCCTCCGTAACGCCCTTGATGTCACTCCAGTACTCCAGCCGTTTAACTTCTCCATCCGCGGCCTCGACTGCTTTAAGTAGATGATTGAGCCTCTCCTTCCTTTTATCGTCTTCCGAGCTTGCAGCCTTACCCTTCTCTTCTACTTTTTTCTGCTCTTTTGAAGTCTCATCCAATGCCGTAGTCAGATGCGCAAGCAGAGTCCGCCGTGACGCCTGAAAGATAAACATACCCATAACATCATGCATCCTCCCCGCAAGGTCCTTCAAGTCCGCCTTACCCCCTTTCACAAACGCCTCTACAACCTCGCTCTTCTCGCGATCAATCCTGCATGCCTTCAGCGCTGCTAGCACCTGTTCAATATCCTTTATTTCTTCTGCCTTCCCCTGCACCATCTCACGTCTCGAGCTGCGCCGACTCACGCTGGCACTCGCGGTGCTCAACGTATCCGGATGCACCGCAAAATGCTCTGCGGTCAGTCTGTGCGGGTCTTCAGTGTCCGTTTCGTGGTGCATGCGCACGCGCTTTCGGATCCACGCGCGGCGGCGAACAAAAGAGTTGTACCAGGTCGGGCCGTGCCAGCTGCAACGTTTACTGAACATAAAGCTGTACTCCCAGCCCTCGTCGTCAAGGATCTCGTTATCGGGATCGTGGTTAACGACCCAGTCAGCCCAGGCCCAGGCCCAGCCTGGATCAGGCACCTGCGCATTTTTTATATTTGTTGCGGATGGTTTGAAGGCGATGTTTGTCCATGGAGCGGCATCGAACATGCCAAGGGCGCGAAAGCTGAATAAAGGATGCCCACAGAGGAAGCCCCCGCGTTCATTCTCGTAGAGGACATCGATTGCCGACTCTGGCGTGCAGGTGGTTGGCGAGCGGTCTATGGTCACTGGCAGCACTGCTTTGTGCTTCGAGCGGCCAGACCTGCTATTCTCTCCATCGCCGCCTGACACAATAACGCGCACTCCTGTGCTCTTCGTCGGGGTCACATCCAGGCTGGTATCGTCGTCTGTGATGAGCTGGCCTGCACGCTCACCGGCCCGCTCTTCGGTCCATTTCTTCCTCCACCGTTTATGCTCGATCCCGCTCCTGATCCTCGAGGAGCGCTTCCCGTGGTCGAAGCTATGGCGGCGAGAGAGTAGGGTTTGCGATGTTTGCGGGGTCACAGAAGACTCGTCGTCGCTGCGGGGGATTTCGAAAGAACGGCTGCCTACTCGAGATAGATTGGTCTGGTCGACGAGGTGGATTTCATGGTCATAGTCCTCGTCGCGTAAGGCAATCGGGCGGCGGCTGGAAGCGTGTGAGACCGCGTTAAATAAGGTGGTCATTGTGGGGGTTCGTTGGAAGATAGCTTATGCTCGCTGCACCTTGAAGCTCACGGGACAGCTAGAAAGCTGTTGGATATGTGAATCTGCACCATATACGGGAGATAGGGGGCGAGGCGGAGCTGTGGCCGTGGGTAGCCGTCGTTTTGGCTTTGTCTCGAGGTCCCAAGTCGCACAGCGAGATAACAATGATCGCGAACAAGCTACCGATTGGGTCAAATCACGGAACTTCCAAAGAACGAATAATTAACAAATATGCATAACACAATACTCCGTATAGCGAAGAGTGACGAGACGCGACTCTCCTAAAAAACACAAGCGTCCAAGTAACAGCTACCAGGCAAATTCCCCACCAGGAAAGTAGAGTAACGCATCACGTGTAGACTCTAATCACGTGCTCTGTAGTGCCAAGGCGGAGGATCTTCACTCCAAAACCCCGCACTGGATCGTATATGGTTAGCGTTCAGTATTCGTAATCAATACAGACTAAGCTCTAATTCCATAATCGCGTGCAACCAACAAATCAATGACGTAGATAATGTCGCTCACCCGGATCCCAAATGGACGAATCATACAGCTTGTAACAGGACCATTGACGTCTTCTCTTCAAAAACAACTCTGTATCTTGACCACAATTGTCCAGCGACTGCTTCATTATCATATCAACACTAATATAACCCTCTCCTCCAACCACCAACAACCACATCAAAAATGGCCCAGCCAAAGTCCCGCGTCCCTCTCGCTATCGGCCTGACCGCCGCAGCAGGTGTCGGTTACTACCTTTACCAGTCCGGCGGTAATGCGAAGGTAGCAGAGAAGAAGTTCGAGGGTAAGCCAGCCCCACATCCACTCATGCATTCCCCTCATCACTCTCCGCAAGCATCTGTCGCCTTGAAAACCGGCGACCATATGACAGCCTGCTAACCCCTCCACCCCCAGCGGATCTCTCATCTGCCTCCGCGCGTGTTAAGGGCGAGCTCCCCGGCCGTGGCAAGGAAGCCGAGAAGACGGCCGCTGCATGGGCCACCGAGAAGGGCCAGCAGATCGACAACGCCGTATGTCCTTCCCAACAGTCTCACCCCCAGGGCAGTATACTGACAAGACCAGGCTGAGAAGGCGCGCAAGGAGCTTAACAAGACTGGGGAGTCGCTGGATTCTTACCGCAAAGAGGCGGGCAAGGAGGCCATGGCTAAGCTCGACAAGTTCGATGCCACGGTCGAGAAGGAGGCTACGAAGGCGAAGAGCGGTATCTCTGGCTGGTTTGGGGGAAGCAGCAAGTAATCTCGTCGCTGGGGAGTAGGAGTAACCTTTTAAGAACTGTATATGGCTTGATATATATCCGAAATCACATTTAAAACCTCGTGGTGACTTTGCATGTGACGTAGTGACAGTTGAAAAAGTATCGTGACATGAATATCATTTGATTCTCATATCTTCTTCTATCATCTCAGATACTCCCCACTGGCCGACTCACCGGGCCCATTAAACTCCAACATATATATGCAACGCTGATAAAAACCGCTCAGAACTCGCCTTAGCCATTAACTCCCAAGATATTGTCTTTTTTACCTCATCCCATCAAACTCCATTCATATCCACATCCGCCATCTCCGCATCCTTCAGCTCCCTCTTCCGCTCTCCCAGCTCCCACTTCCACAGATCCTCAAACGAGGTAGGCTTCGCCTTCACATCAGTGTCTTTCAGGCCAAGTTTCCGGACAACTTTGAATGCGCCAGTGCCGACACTCATCGTCTGTCCCATAATGATACACTCCGAAACACCTTCAATGGCATCCTTCTTCATCCCTGCTGCCGCATCAAACAAGTGATCGGGCGTCTTCTCGAACGACGCAAGCTGCAGTACGGAATCCCTCATCTTGCTAAGACCAAAGCGCGTAATTCCCAAAATCTCACCCTTGTATGTCATCACATCAGCTAACAGCTGCATGTGACGCGGATCGATATTCATTTCGCTCATCACGCTCTCAATCTCATTGGCAATAGTGGTTCGCGCCGCTTCAATACCGAGGACTTGGTTGCACTCAACAACACTGTTGGTTGTGACTCTAGTACCAATGACACCTTCGGTGGTCATACATGCGCGAAGACCGTAGCCTTCGACGTGGACGGTGTGCTCTCCCTTGTCCTGCTGGATAATGGCTCGAGTAGCCTCTGGGTAGCCGGAGACGGGGATGGTGGGGATAGTGCGCTTTAGGTAGTTGACGCGGAGGAGGAGGTCGGATGCTTCATCGGTCGACTTCTTGGCGGCGCCGCCGCGACCAAAGGTACCAGTGTTGGAACCGTGAGCAACACGAACGAAGATATCGTCGCCGATAATGTCGAGTGCGTCGTTGGGTATCTTCAGCTTCTTATTCCTCAGAATAGCATTCGCGATATCCGCTGTGGTGATATCAAGGTGCATCTCGCTGACACCTTGAACATCCACCGACAAACAAATTGTTGCGCTCTTGGCTGACCACATGTCCTCGACAAATCGAATGCAATCTGAGATATAAGTCTTCTCGATACGACCCTTGACGACGCGTGCTGCAACAATATCATGCGGGTTTTCCAGGGGACACGTCATTACAGGCGTACTGATCAGCTTCGAAGCATTGATGATTTCCTTGATACGGGGCACACCCTGGGTGATACTCATACCGGCAACACCAGCAAAATGGAAAGTTCTCAGCGTCATCTGCGTTCCAGGTTCACCAATAGACTGGGCTCCAACAGCTCCGACGGCATGCCCTGGTTCAACATGTGCCTTCAAGTATTTTGTCAGACAGAGCTCAATGAACTTGGCCAATGTAGCTTCCGAAACCTTTGCAACTCGGTCCATTTGGTTTCGTCTTGTTTGGTCTTCAGTAGCGGGGTTATAATGTATATCAGAAAGGCTTGGGTTTTCTGTCAGTTCTGGCAACCCAGCCCTTTTTCGTGCCTGAGAGAGCTTTTGTGCCAGCCTTCCGACGTATTTGCTTACTTCGCTAACGAAACCTCGGGCACTTTCAAGTTCATCAATTGCATAGTCGCTCTGGTCGTTGTACTCCAGTTTCTCGTTGTGAAGTAGGCCACGTCTCGTAAGCTTGGCTTTCTCAGGTTCGAGGAGTGCCGCGCATTGGGCCGTAATCTCGTATGGCAGGAGAGCAGGGTCGTTGTTATCCCATGTCAAACTCTCAGCATGCGTATATGTTCGATCGAAATGCACGGGCACAGCGCTGCCTTCCATATCAACGGGATCAAGTTTATCAGCTCCAAACTGGAACTGAACGATACCTCCAGACGAATTCCTAACGGTGTCGTCATACTGCGTAGACAAATCTTCCAAGGATTTCATTAGACGTCTGGACATGTAACCAGTCTCGGCGGTCTTTACAGCAGTATCGACCAGACCTTCACGACCCGAAATGGCGTGGAAAAGAAACTCGGTAGGAGTGAGGCCGCCAAAAAAGCTGTTGCGCACGAATCCTTTTGAGGGCGGTTGACGTGCATTTTTGGGGAAATGAGGCAGAGTACGGTCTTGGAATCCATCCGCAACTCTGGCTCCTGAAATCATTTGCTGTCCGACAAGAGTGACCATTTGAGCAACGTTGATGTTTGAGCCTTTAGATCCGGATTTAGCCATGATCAGTGGCGAGTTCCACTTGCTTAGTGTATTGATACAGAACTCTCCAGCTTGCTGTCTTACTCTGCTGAGAATACCAGAAATCTTATTCTCCAATGTTTCTTCCATATTGCAGCCAGTTGCTTTCTCCAGCTTGCCTGACTTGAATTGGACAATGAGATCGTCACATTCGGCATACGCCTTTGTGACAAGAGCCAATTTCTGATCCTCAAGACTTTTGCTTGGATATACATCACTGATGCCAATTGAGAAGCCCCGATTAGTCAAATATCTTGCTGACAGCTTCGCAAGTCGATTCATCGCCAAAACTGCATGATCGGGTCCGAAATCTCTTAGGATGGTATAAAATATACAGTCTTTCTTTCCCGATCCAACGGTCGTCTTGTCCATTCTACCACACATAACCTCTGAGTTACGGACAACGAGCCATCCGTCATTCGGATCCATATCTGGGGCCTGTCCGGCAACTGCTTTGTAATCTCGGCACTTCGCATCAAGATTAACCTTCACAGGAGACGTCTTATTAGGGCGCATGAGAACACTGAAGACCTGTTTCCCCGTCCAGAGAGCTTCCGGTTTTATGATAGCCGGAGGCGGAATATCAATATCCATTTTTCCATCTACCATGTACATGCACAGATGTGCAAACGTTTTCCGGTCGAAGAAGTTCTCTTTGCTACTGAGAAGGTAGGCGGCCGTAATAAAATCTTGGGTGGCCGAAATAATAGGTTCTCCGCTTTTGGGCGTACACAAATTGTTCTTCACACCCATCAAGTTGATAGCTTCTGTTCTCGCCTCTTCGGTTTGCGGGACATGGATATTCATTTCATCGCCGTCGAAATCTGCGTTGTAAGGGCCACAGACGCACTCGTTGAATCGAAAGGTTCTCCATGGTCGAACTTTGACGTAATGACTCATAATACTAAGTTTGTGTAGCGACGGTTGGCGGTTGAAGAGGATGATATCTCCATCTTCCAGATGCCTCTCGACAACGTCACCAACGCGGAGAGTGTTGGCCGTGTATTCCCGATCGGCATGCTTCAGTGAGACCTTCCGCCCATCCATCTTCTTTTCGACGATGTTGGCTCCTGGCCATTTACCGGGTCCACGCTTTATGCATTCCCTCAGCTTATGGATGTTCCTGTCATGAACTCGTTCTGGATAAGTCATGTTGGTGGCCACAAGAATTGGGATCGCAACTTCTTCAATGCTAAGGTTGGGGTCCGGGGAAATTACGGTCCTCCCAGAAAAGTCAACACGCTTTCCCGAAAGGTTGCCTCTGAATCGGCCTTGTTTGCCTTTTAACCTTTGGCAGAACCCACGGATAGCTTTTCCAAATCCCGGTTGCTGGAGACCTGGAACGTCGCTATTCACATACATAGCAATTTGAAGCTGCAGATATTCCCACTGCTCCATAATTGTTTGGATGGGCTGTCCTTTTTGCAAGGCACTCCTGATCAGCGAGCTGATGTGAACAATATCACCTAACTTGGACGTTAAATCGTCTTCAGTGCTGGCACCATCCTGAGCCACCGAGGGCCGAATGCAAATCGGAGGAGCAGGCACATATTGCCACAAGAACATTTCCGGCCTTCCTTCGGATGGATTGATTCCGAGCAACTCGCAGTCTGTTGGCGTGATCATCCTGAAGAGGTTCAGAACGCGAAGAGGGTTCAAGTCGTCCATTGCTTTTTTAAGGTGTTTATCCAATTCAGCATTCGTCTTCTTTGCCTCCACAAACGACTTGTCAAAGGCAGCCTTCTCTGGGGGGATAACTTTTCTCGCCGCAGTAGATTTGTTGTAGGCCAAAAATTTGTCGTGCGTAAGCTTGAATACCCCAGTTTTCCGAATCTGACCGTTGACTGCGCTGCAGTATGGGCAAGTCTTCGCCTTCCGGCATTGGGCGTTGATCTTTTTACAGATTTGGGTGCGTTTCAAATTGTCGATATTGGGTCGTCGTAGCTCTTTGAGGAATTGTCGGCGCTCGCTCTCGGTGAGCAACACTCGGGCGCAATCCTTGCAGATCTCTTGTAGAATAGCTATCACAAGCTTCAAGTAGCCGATATGAAACGCCGGGAGGGCCAATCTGACGTGGCCGAAGTGGCCGTTGCAATTATTCAGTCCTTCGCCGCATGTTTCACATCGTCCGGTCTTGCTCGAGGTACCCTAGAAGCGACGTTAGTGCTGCAGTTATGATCAGAAAGTTGATATACGACTCACCAGCCTAGGATCTACGGCTCCATTCGGGACGGGTTTGCGATTCTTCTCGACATCGTAGAGCATGCGATCAGAGACCTCAAGGACTCCTTGGTTTACAATATCGCGCGTGGACCTAAGTAGTCAGTTTGAGCAAAAATATACAGAAGCAGCAGTCGCATTATGACTTACTGGACTCCAAATTTAAGCTCTTTAAAGCGCTTGGGGATCTTATCCACAACCTGCTCTTTGACTGCAGGGCCACTCGAGCGAACAGGCTCGATGCCAGAAGAGGTGAGCTGCATCGTGACGCCGTGCTACCTTCTGTAATTCATGGGTATATTATCGCAAGACCGTATAATTATGCTTCAATAAACAGAAAGTACTGCAAGAACCGGACGATTGTAAAAGGTTGGAGTCACAATGAGGCATTTGGCGTAAATTTCCATGAGCACTAGTCGATGGTGGGGCACGACTGTGTCATCTAATCTAATCTGATTGCGAAGGATCATCCACGATGTTTGGTCAAAACTACGCGAGCAGTAACTTACAGTGTACAGTATCTACAGTACAGCATGTAAACTCAGGGTCTATTTGCATCCTCATGCTGAGAATATACAACAAACTATAGTTGACACAGTTGATTGCTTAAAACTAAAGGCATAATTATCTCAGCTATTCGCGAAAAATTACTCACATGGACTGTACTTAAGTATGGAGTACGGAGTACAGTATTTCCGCAAATATGGCAGTATTATACACTAGTCTTCATTTATTTCAATTCACACCGCCTTGCGCCTCCGTCAGTGACAATTTTGAAGCTCTAAATTGAAAGGGACAAGCTTCATACCAAATCGCCGTTAATCTCAGGGCAGAACCACTCATCAATTCCTCCATCTTCTTGGTTCTTTGCATGTCATGACTGTAGGACATGGTACCTGGCAGCCGTAGCATTTCGATATGCAAGGCAGTCCTGTCTAGATGTTCGCCAACGCTCCATCGCAACATTCGCGAGCCATTGCTCTTTCTATACCCGACGGCACGAGGATTTGGTTCAAGCGCAGCAGAGGTTCTCCGCAATGGCCAATCGACACTCCATTCCCGATCGGCGCCTGAATCACAACAAGCATGGTCGTCGTCTTCGTCGTCTTTTGATACCCACACCCTTGATACCCGCCCGGTGGCGCCGGGCTCGTCCAGTCAGGAGTATGAATTGATTTCAAAAGCGGAGGGAGCACAGCAATATTCTCACGCGGCGAGTAATAAGGACATTTGCAACAATGAAGGGCCTCGAGGCGACTTGTCCCCGAACGGCCGTAGAAGCAACCAGAAAAACCCTCACCCTCGGCGTTTGCAAATACAGCGGGTGGTAAGCGTTAACGACGCCCTTGACATACGTCGCGTGAAGATTAAGGATGATGGTATGGCGCCGAAGGCTCGCAAGTTCCGTACTAAATCGAGCAAATACCCAACTACTAGCGAGCAACAAGCCGATACAGGGGCTACCATAATACGAAATATTGTTCAAGCATATCCGCGCCCAATTATACAGAAAGATACGTTTAGAAAAGTGGCATATGGACAGAAGGTGCGGATGATATTATCGACGACAGAACGTGTCGAAATGAGGTGGTGGTATCAAGATGAAGTACGCAGATTGCAGCACGAAAATATGAACGAGGATAGAGGTTTTCCCCAAAGGGGTCCTCCAGAAGTACTCAAGACCCTTATTCGTTACACCCCGAAACGAGTTGAGAACACTCTTCTTAGGATTTCAGTCCCCGACAACGCTGTTGACTCATTGCTCCTTGGGCCTGGTAACAATATAATGGATATCAAGAACCTGACGGGTTGCGACATCGAACTTCTCGAAGCTGAGGAGGGCAAATCTACTCGGTCGTTATTGTTGTCAGGGCCGCCGATATGCATCTCGGCGGCAGCAGCACACATCTTCCGAATCGTCCCGGCGGCAGTTTCCAACTCGACAAATAGAGCTTTTGCGTTTTCCCAGTACAGCACCCGGTCGACAACTACAGACGTAGCTCAGTCTACAGATGCAAGAGGTTCGGCACATATTACAACGCAGTATTACCTTGCATCCAGTAAGGTTGACGATATACCAAGGAGGGCAGACAGCATACCTAAGCCTAGAAGACTGACGGAAAAGTCCCTCGAATTATACATACGATCATTAACGGGAATCAAAATGACAAGTCCGCTTCATAAGATGCTATACAGGAAAAACGAAGACCATGTAGAAATCGTCGCCGAACGGTTGCTAGAGGTATTTGCCTATGACGAGTGTATGGATGTGATGACCATCACTGGTTTGAACGAGGCAGTGTCATTTCTTGCGAAGTATGGTAGGGTCGCTGCAACCCGGGAGATATTCGACAAGGCGCGTAGGGCCGGATTTCCACTGACACCCGAAACCTACAACATCCTTCTACGAGGCTGTGCGAAGACCCAAAATATCAATACTTTCGCCGCTTTATTGGGGGTAATGATACATAGTGGCTATCGCCCCAATTCTGGAACTTGGAGGGCATTTATGATGGTATTGCGAAATCCTAAAGCCATTTTGCATGTCTACGAAGCGATGCAAGACCGAGGGCTTTTCCATGAGGAAGGGCTCTTGAGCGACGTCTGCGAGCTCTTGCTACCCCACGAAATGACTTTTTGTCTGAACAAAAATCAGCTCGTTGCCCCTTTCATCGAAAACATGACATCTCGTTATGGAGATGGATGGCTCTCGGTGTCCGGGGCTAACAAGGTTTTGGAGGAACTGGGCAAGCGTGGTCTCCTCTCGGAGTGTTGGTCTCTCGTCGACTACATGGTCGAGCAGAATATCGTGCCTAATGCTGTGTCTATCAACACCATCTTCACTCACTCTACGGATGCGAGGGACTTTCGAAACAATATCAGGGCTTTAGATCGCGTCTCTGAGCAGGCCAGGTTTCGACCCGACGGAACTACGTACGAGATTCTTTTCAAATTCGCCTGGCGCTGGCGCCTTTACAGTACTGCACGTGTTATTTGGCAACGTGCCTGCCTAGATGCATGCGCTAGGTTCGAGATGCGAAAACGAGTTTCTACTAGCCTTCAATCTGCATTCATGTTCCAAAGCACAACCCTTCCGTCTCTTCCTGGCCCATCCGCTCCGCCTGACAGCGTGTGGGATCTGACCGCTGGGGTTTTCGTCGTTAGGGAAATCTGCCCACCAGCTCCCAAAGATGAGAGTCAAACCCCTGACGAATCGTCTCTAAGTCAATGGAAAGCCTTTCACCACGCAGTTGAAACTGTCAAGTCAGAACTGTTGATTTTTAAGGAGTGGCGGGCTGCTGGGTCCCTCACGAAATTACTGGTTGCCTCGGTCAAGGCAGATGAAACTGTTTCCAAGCTAATGGACGACGATTTCGAGAAGGGCATGGAGCATTTGTTGAAATATGCACCGGTTGTTAGAATAAAACGAAGGTTCTGGCGTGACGAAGAATAGTCGCGTCGCTTGAAGCGGGAATTAGGGACGAACTGTATACAAATATTAGAGGCTTAGAGCCGTCTTTGTAAATACAAATTATGTATAGTAGATATATGTACAATACTACACTCTTGTAATATAATGCGGCCTCAGGAAGAGCAAAAATATTTCTCATGAAGCCAAAGTGTGAAGCTGAAGGTATCAACCCTTCGTATCAACCCTCTGCCGTGCACGGTCCTACTTCAGACTTTTTGGGGGGCATGAGTAATGGGCCGTTCCTAACCGGCACCATCGTCGATTGGTGACTGTTGTGAACCCCACCACAAGGCTGTCGAGACAACGCATTTCTCTACACCTTCCTATACAGGGTTTTCCCTCCAATGTCAAGACTTCTGGCGCGAAACATCTTCAAGCAAACTAATGCCCGCTTGAACACCTTTACAACCTCTACGACCTGCCGCACTTCCTCTCTATACCCTCTCCGATCTATTCACCCAAGACCTCTTCAAAGCAAAACTCCATCCATACGCTCATACTCATCTCAGCTCTTGACAGCAGAACAACGCCGCGAGCACCAAGCGCAGAAAATGGCCCCACAACTGGACGCATTCTTCAAGGAGGTCGACGCCCAAGCCGACCACTTCATCGAGCGCCTTCGCCAGGCAGTCGCCATCCCCTCTATCTCGGCTGAGGACGAGCGTCGCCCAGATGTTGTGCGCATGGGGGAATGGCTCGGGAAGGAGCTCGAGGCATTAGGCGCTCACGTCGAGTTGCGGCCCTTGGGTCCCCAGCCACACAAGGAGCACTTGATGCTTCCTCCTGTAGTTGTTGCCAGATACGGTAACGACAAGGCGAAGCGTACGATCCTCGTTTACGGGCATTACGACGTCCAGCCAGCTGCGAAGGAGGACGGATGGGCGACGGAGCCCTTCGAGCTCACCGTTGATGATAAGGGACGCATGTTTGGCCGTGGCAGCACTGATGACAAGGGCCCTGTTTTGGGATGGCTCAATGCTATCGAGGCTCACCAGAAGGCTGGGATTGACTTCCCCGTCAACCTGCTGATGTGCTTCGAGGGCATGGAAGAATACGGCTCTGAGGGTCTTGATGATTTCATCAAGGAGGAGGCTGGAAAGTTCTTCAAGGATACCGATGCCGTTTGTATCTCTGATAACTACTGGCTCGGCACCGAGAAGCCCTGCCTCACCTATGGTCTCCGCGGCTGCAACTACTATTCTGTTGAAATTTCTGGCCCTGGTCAAGATCTTCACAGTGGAGTCTTCGGTGGTTCCGCACAGGAGCCCATGACCGACCTTGTCCGCGTCCTTGGCTCTCTGGTCGACACCAACGGCAAGATCCAAATCCCTGGACTCGCCGAGCTCGTTGCCCCCGTCACTGAGGAAGAGAAGGGTCTATACAAGGACATTGCTTTCACCATGGACAACCTCCACGAGTCCCTCGGCTCGAAGACCACAATCTTCGAGGATAAGGAGAGCACCCTCATGGCACGCTGGCGCTTTCCCTCCCTCTCCGTCCATGGCATCGAGGGTGCTTTCTCGCAGCCTGGCGCCAAGACCGTCATCCCCGCCAAGGTTATTGGCAAGTTCTCCATCCGCACCGTGCCCAACATGGAGAGCGAGGACGTGACCCGCCTGGTCAAGGAGTACGTTACCGAAGTTTTCGCCAAGCTGAAGTCTAAGAACACCCTCGACGTCAGCCTAATGCACGACGGCAAGTGGTGGGTCGCGAGCCCCAAGCACTGGAACTTCAGCGCCGCCGCCAAGGCATCGGAGCGTGTATGGGGCGTCGCACCGGATTTGACTAGAGAAGGTGGAAGGTATGCTTCTAACCTCACAGAACCCACGCTAACTTGGCGTTTTGCTAACAGGTTGCAGTATCCCCGTTACGTTGACGTTTGAGGAGGCAACCGGCAAGAATGTGCTCTTGCTGCCAATGGGCAGCAGCACGGATATGGCGCACAGCACTAACGAGAAGCTCGACAAGAGCAACTACCTCGAGGGTATCAAGACCCTGGGCGCTTACCTGCATTACGCGGCCGAGGAGCCAATGGTTTAGATGGATGCACCGTTGGGATAGAAGCAGGCGAGCAATGCGGTGTCAGCATCCCCAATATAGGAGCATTCGTAGCTCAGTGAAGGCTTAAATTGGGGATACAATCGTTGCCACTTATAGCTTATTATAGTAACACTTTTGGCTAGGATATCCACCACTTCAGGTTCCGGATGAACGGCGAGGCTCATCATATGCAGAGACTCTAAGTTATATAATTATAATTATAATCCACCCATATTATTTTAGGGTTCGAATATTTGTTCTCGGAATTATATTCCCGGCTCTAGATATATTTATAGCAACTTGTTGCACATGTATATTAACATTTACATTTGCCCCGCGCAGTGTTGCCCGAGTAGTACTTGCCGTGAGTAGTACTCGCCGAGTACCCGAGTACTACTGTACTCGGGTGATATTTTTGAGTACTCGGTGAGTCCCCGAGTACTACTCCGAGTACTCCGAGTACTGCCAAGCCCTTGGCAAAGAGGGGTAATATAGATCGTAGAATAGAATAGATAATTGAAGCTTTCTTCCACTTGAGCGTTCTGTATTGCTTCCTGCAATGAGTGACTCTTCGCTATCGCCGGTGCCGGCTGAGTATCAGTCTGATGCTTTAGCTGCATCATATGCCTCTAAGACTTCAATTACCTGAGTCTACGTCAATCCTCTTTTTAAAAGGGCTATTCTACCGTACTTTATTAGATACAATACCTGCTAGAGTCCAATACCAATGCCTTCAAACCGATTGTAACTATATGCCGAGCCAGCCACTAAAGAGCCAGACAACGAGTAATCTTTGGAAGCATCTTAAAAAGATGCACCCATCTGTGTATACAGAATACGAGAAGCTATCCTCCTCAATTAGAAGCTCGTCAACGCCGTCTACTTCTGTTTCTGCTTCTGCTTCTACTTCTACTTCTGCTTTTTTCCAGCCCCGCCAAGCACCTAATAACGCACCAAGCTCGTCGAAATATAGAGAGCTTATACTCTCTTTTGTGGTATCAAATAACCTACCGCTACGCCTTGTAGAAAGCCACTCATTCCGGCAATTAGTTCATCATCTAAACCCTACTGTTTTAACAGTAGGTAGAACTACAATCGGACGGGATCTATATCGTCTATTCTGCTATCATAAAGCACGGCTTCAAGTAGAGCTACAGCAGCATGTTATAAATGGTGGACGACTATCCATAAAAACTGATACTTGGTCTGCTCGGAACTACTCTGAATACGCAGCAGTTACTGTACACTGGATAAATGACAATTGGCAAATGAGAACTACGATACTTGACGTTATACACCTTCAAGAGCCGATCCACTCTGGTGAATACCTTGCTGAACAGATGATGGTGTTGCTTACGGAATTGGGGTGTTTTATCACAAGGCGACGACGAAGACAGCGGCGACGATACAGACAATAAGAGTTAGAATAGTATATATATATTTCAATTTTTACTTCTATTTCTATTTATATGCGAGTACTACTCGGGTATTCGAGTACCGGTACTCGAATACCGGTACTCGAGCTTCAATTTTGAGTACGGTACTCGAGGATCCTCCGAGTAGTACTCGGAGCGGTACTCGGGCAACACTGGCCCCGCGTCATAACTAGTTACTGCTTCTCCCCAAAATCCTTCGCCACCATTGCATTGCAGATGGGATGGTAAAAGCCCTTGTTTGCTTCATAAGTCTTGAGGGCCAGCTCCCTATCTGCTGACGCAAACTTCCTATATAACGGGCGCACAAACTTCATGCGTCCTACGCGTCCTAGCAATTCAGCAGTTGGTGCGTATGCGTTCTCATCCTTGGCTAGAAGCCCGAGCTGCAGGAATCTGGCGGAGAGCTCGACGTTTCGTGTCTTGAATAGCAAATACGTGTTGCCCAATAGAGTAGTCTGGTTTGGGAGAAGCGGGGACCTGGAGAAGGAAGTGAGAAGCGACTCGAGGAAGACGACAGTCTGGTTTGCGGAAAAGCCTTCGATATCCTCGAGCGACGGCTCGAAGTTGACCGATGACGTCCAACGATCTGCCAGAGCGTAGGCTTTGTCCACCAAGCTTGTGTCAAACTCTGGCTTTGGTGGCATACCCGGCTTATAAAACCACGCATCCCAATCAATTTCCTTCACCATCTCCGCCGCCTGGGCATCGCCAGAAAAGAAGTTGATAAGAGTATCTTTAAACTCAAATGAGTCCAGAGATTTCTGGGCCCACGTATTAAAGTAGTGAGGGATAAATTGATCGAACTTGTCCTTTCCTACCAGCTTCTCGATATAGTAGAGGAAGTGGAAGCCTTTCTCGTAGGGAATGGTGCTAAATGCATCATCAGGGTCAAGGCCCTTCAAGTCCGGCACAAGCTTTGTGTAGTCATGCTCGCTTCCAAAGAGATTAACTGCATCCTCCAGAGCCTTCCAGCCGATGATAGCTGAAAAGTCGCGGTACGCTTCCCCATGCACTGCAGCCTGGAGTCGGCGCTCCAAGTACGTCGTCCATCCCTCGTTGAGCCAGAAGTGCTCCCACGCTGCTGCTGACACGAGATTTCCGCTCCAGCTGTGGCTAAGCTCGTGGGCGATCACGTCAACATTTTCGCGATCGCCACTGATAAGAGTGGGCGTTGCGAACGTGTAGATTGGGTTTTCCATCCCGCCATACGGGAAGCTAGCGGGGAGTACCAGGACATTGTATTGACCCCACACATACGGAGAAATGAGCTTCTCGGCGATTTTAATGAAGTTCTCAGTATCCCTCTCCAACTCCCACTTTGATGCCTCGAGCTCCTTGGGGGAGGCGGCTACGGTGCTCCGCGGTCCGATCTGGGCTGTTGCGATATCTCCAGATGCGAGGGCAAAGAGATATGCGGTCATGGGAATGTCCTGCTTAAAGTGATAAAGCTTCGCTCCGGTCTTGGACTTGAAGTCCACGCCTTGCTCGCCCTCAACGGAGACCCCG